GAGAGACCTATTGTCAAACAATGTGACTGGTTGTCATCAGCTAGCTTCTCTCTATATTTGTACCTGTAATTAGTTTGGTCAGATGAAGGCTTTCAACAACATGACTCCAGGTTCAGCTTAAGTTACAGTACAGCTTCAATTATAGTTGGAGGAAGACTACCTAATGATGTCTACGGTACCATGACTACAGCCTTAATCAAACGTTCTCTCATTAGCTAGTAACATGATCTCCAGCTTAAACCTTTATGTGTTTAAAACAGAAACCTTTTAACATCAACATAAAAGTATGGATTTCCTTCATAATGAATAATCTCCAGAATGGAAATGAAGATTCCAGTAAGAAGATAAATAATTATACAACCTGAAATACTCTGTATTTGTCCTTAAATAGTAAGATTAGCAGTATTCTGAGATCTTTTTCAATAACATTACTTACCTGGTACTTGTCGTGAGTACTCATTTATTTATATATTGAAACTCTAGGTTATACAAAGTGTGGCCTATATATAGTTACCTATTTGTAGGAGCACTAAGATATATATCTGTAATTAACCGTAAACTTCATATAATGCAATAATTATAGTAGATATCAGAAGACACCTTGATGCAAATCTATTTTTGTTTTTAAATAATGTGCCTGCAAATGGAATACACAAAGATACAAAAGGCCGCTAAGACCTGTGTTACTGAAAATAACCTAAAATCAGAGACACTTACCTTTGGTGAACTATTATCTTGACTTTTCTTTTTTTCCTACAGTTACGCACTGCAAATCATTTCACCTTTACTCAAAGTAATATTCAATGTTTCATTTTCATTTCCCAATTCAGTTAGGACTGTATCTCTGCCCTCAGCTACAATCTCATGCACCCTACAAGTTCATCACAATTTCCCTTTCAGACCCCTTCATACCTCCTTTGTTCCTCCCTCATGACTGCCCCCATAAACCAAGAAAAGGTATTCACTCATTTCATCAAAAAAAATTTCAGATTAACATAACATTTAATATACTGTATATAATATTATCCTAAATGTATGTATGAGAGTCTGGTGTTCAAGCTTTGGCAGTTGAAGAAATGAAACATATATAAAAGAAGGAACTGAGCTACATGTTACAGAATAGATACTCAGAGTTTATCACTGGGAGGTGACCGTATCAGAAACTAACACGGAGTTTATCACTGGGAGGTGACCGTGACCGGGTCAGAAACTAACTCAGAGTTTATCAGTGGGAGGTGACCGGGTCAGAAACTAACTCAGAGTTTATCAGTGGGAGGTGACCGGATCAGAAACTAACTCAGAGTTTATCAGTGGGATGTGACCGTATCAGAAACTAACTCAGAGTTTATCAGTGGGAGGTGACCGGATCAGAAACTAACTCAGAGTTTATCAGTGGGATGTGACCGGATCAGAAACTAACTCAGAGTTTATCACTGGGAGGTGACCGTATCAGAAACTAACACGGAGTTTATCAGTGGGATGTGACCAGATCAGAAACTAACACGGAGTTTATCAGTGGGATGTGACCGGGTCAGAAACTAACTCAGAGTTTATCACTGGGAGGTGACTGGGTCAGAAACTAACTCAGAGTTGAACACTGGGAGGTGACCGGATCAGAAACTAACTCAGAGTTTAACACTGGGAGGTGACCCAATCAGAAACTAACTCAGAGTTTAACACTGGGAGGTGACCAGATCAGAAACTAACTCAGAGTTTATCAGTGGGAGGTGACCGGGTCAGAAACTAACTCAGAGTTTATCAGTGGGAGGTGACCCGATCAGAAACTAACTCAGAGTTTATCACTGGGAGGTGACTGGGTCAGAAACTAACTCAGAGTTGAACACTGGGAGGTGACCGGATCAGAAACTAACTCAGAGTTTAACACTGGGAGGTGACCAGATCAGAAACTAACTCAGAGTTTATCACTGGGAGGTGACCCAATCAGAAACTAACTCAGAGTTTAACACTGGGAGGTGACCAGATCAGAAACTAACTCAGAGTTTATCAGTGGGAAGTGACCGGATCAGAAACTAACTCAGAGTTTATCAGTGGGAGGTGACCGGGTCAGAAACTAACTCAGAGTTTATCAGTGGGAGGTGACCCGATCAGAAACTAACTCAGAGTTTATCAGTGGGAGGTGACCGGATCAGAAACTAACTCAGAGCTAACACGGAGTTTATCAGTGGGATGTGACCGTATCAGAAACTAACTCAGAGTTTATCAGTGGGAGGTGACCCGATCAGAAACTAAGTCAGAGTTTATCAGTGGGAGGTGACCGGATCAAAAACTAACTAAGAGTTTATCAGTGGGAGGTGAGTAGAGTGAGAGGTGACTAGATCAGAAACTAACTAAGAGTTTATCAGTGGGAGGTGACCCAATCAGAAACTAACTCAGAGTTTATCAGTGGGAGGTGACAAGATCAGAAACTAACTAAGAGTTTATCAGTGGGAGGTGACCCGATCAGAAACTAACTCAGAGTTTATCAGTGGGAGGTGACAAGATCAGAAACTAACTAAGAGTTTATCAGTGGGAGGTGACCGGATCAGAAATTAACTCAGAGTTGAACACTGGGAGGTGACCCGATAAAAAAAAAACCCCATCTCTAGTCTTAATAAAAAACTTTAAAATCTTGACATGTTTATAAAATTTGCTGACATGATTTAATAATTTTTTCAAAACAAAATTTCATTTGAAGAATATGTCCTGTAAGACTGTCAAATCCAATATGATCATGTTACATCTTGTTTCAGTAATATCATTCCATTACTTCTAAGGATCCGTTATTCTTAGGAAATAGCTATTACTAATTTCGAATGTCAAAATCCAAGATGGCCACTTGTTGGTCATATTGTTTCCAACTTCTTTCACTCTCAAAATTCAGTCTTTGCAACCAAGGACAAAGGGAAACCTGCATTTGAGGTTTGAGAAATATTCTGTCAGAACTTCTCAAAAATAGCAATGAGAGACTTCCACTGCCAAAATCCAGAATGGCTACCTGTCAGCAATTTAGTTTTTCAAATCAGACTCAAAAAAATGAATGGATATAATTAAGGAACAAGGGAAACCTAAATCTGAAGTCTGAGCTACGTCCCTCCAGTATTCTTTAAGAAATAGTGATTTGAAACTTATACTGCCAAAATCCTAGATGGACACCTGTTGGCCGTTTTGTTTTCCCAATCAAACTCTATATTAAGCATGAACAATTAGGAACCAAGGTGAAGCTACACATCAAGCCTCGTATTAATCCAGAAGGTCTTTCTTACTAGCAGGTTTAACTCTATGTATGCTTATTGTTTTATGTAAAACCTGGAATAAATGAAACCACAATCCAAACAGAAAACATATAGATATTCAAAGAATAAACGTAAAAATACAAGAACCAAGTTAGTGAATTCAGAGTTGAGTAAGTTTAAGAAAAGGTACTCCAAAAGTATTATAATCACACAGTAGAATACACAGTAGAATACAAAGTTTGAGAAAGGAAATCCCAGTCCACTGTCACAACAGTATTCACACTATGTAGAACTTACGAGAAATACTTTTTATCATTCAATGGAATTCTAGAAAGAAAATCAAAGCACCAAACACATCACATGCAAGTACATTGACATTAAATAATAACTAAATCATATGTACCATTAAGACAGAATCCACATGACATGTAACGTTTCATTTTTGCAAACTTTTGAATTAAGGCCTAAAGTGCTATATTGAAATGGACTAATTTAAACTGTGACTGAATGGACTAACTTGGAATAGCTGTGAAGCCATTTGAAATATTTGAACTGTTGAAATAGTTAGTAATTTGACAATACTAATTTCGTTAATCGTTCAATCATGCATTTTTGTCATGGATGTATGGCATACAAAATTTTGAAATTAGCAAACTGTCATGTAATGTGGAAAAAAAATATGAGAGATTCATTTCTCAATTGTCCTATCTCAAGTAGTCCATAAATGAGAAGTATTGATAATGACAATGGAGTAATCTTCAAGATTTCAGTGTGGGGGTTACTTATTGTAGACTGTACAAACACTTCTTACCTATGTACAGGTAGATATTTTATATACATATGCATAACATCAGTTCCAGTTTAGAATTTCAATAATACAACATCAAGGGGATTAAAGATTTTAAGTTAAGCTACAGAGGACAGGTAGTGAATAGGGTCCTCCTGATTTGTAATCAAAGTCTCGATTTAAATGTTATACGTGTTCACAAAATACAGGACAGCATCACAATATTAAATGCTTGTTCAAGTACTGAATTATATGTAGAGAGATTCTTTACAACATTGTATATATATAAGCTAGGTATCAGTGATAATATATGTTAAAATTCTATAAAAATAATGGTTTGATTTTCTTGTGTCTGATCAGTACATTAGTATTCATTATTTAGCTGAGTTTTACCGGTAGTTTTTGGTGTTACATACAGGTGAAGTAAGTTTTTCATTCCGTGTAAGTTGCATAAACTACCTGCACAATAAGTTTTCATTTTACAAGTTAATACAACTGTAAGGTGTAGCTATGTTTTTCCATTATATAAGTTGTGCATTTCATTCTCATTACACTGGGTTTTAGCAGCATAAATATTACATGTGTTGTGTATGTTACATGTTGGTAAGTATTTCATTCTGTTTACGATGGTTTTTGCAGCATTATATTACATTGTTGTGTATTACATGTTGGTAAGTATTTCATTCTGTTTACGATGGTTTTTGCAGCATTATATTACATGTGTTGTGTATTACATGTTGGTAAGTATTTCATTCTGTTTACGATGGTTTTTGCAGCATTATATTACATGTGTTGTGTATTACATGTTGGTAAGCATTTCATTCTGTTTACGATGGTATTTGCAGCATTATATTACATGTGTTGTGTATTACATGTTGGTAAGTATTTCATTCTGTTTACGATGGTTTTTGCAGCATTATATTACATGAATTGTGCATTACTATTGTGTTATATGCTTTAAGTTGTTATCCTATACTTACCTTAAAGAGGTCTAAAATTATATCTGCGTGATGTTTAGGGGCGTCTATACCCCCTATCTATAATAGTGTATTAATCTACTTTAAGTGTTTTATATTTAAATATAAATTATATCATGATAATAAGTTATTTTTCAATGCTGGATGATTTGAATTTCAAACAATACAACCTTGTTTATTTATCTAATGCTGGATTAACCATTTTTGTATTACATATAGCTGGCCGTTATATATGAGTTTGTAATAGATTGTTTTAACTACTAGATATGTTCCTGCTTAGATACCATTACTAAGAATATTTAAGGATTGTCAATAGAGTATGAACATGTAAAGGAACTTTTGATCTTTATGACACTACAAGTAGATTCACAACAAGATAACAGACACCAAGAACAGGGATTCAAACCCATGCATGTACACTGTGCCCCATGCTGAAGACTTACCATTCATCCTGCAGCACAGGATACATATCAAAGTAAAAATGTTACTTAAAAGTCCTTACACGACAAATTTTCACTGAGTTATTACTATCATGAATCAATACATATGTCATGTAGTCAGCACACTGTCCTGAAGTCTATGATACAATATACATGTTTGAAAAAGGACATGACTAGAAAGTGATCGCATTCAGCGCCATTCTATCATAATTTTAAATTATACTGATATAGTTTCAACAAGCAAAGACACGAAAAACAGTTTTCTTTTCTTAAATCTTCAATGATGTAAAACCACTTGACAATATTTTTGCAGATGAAATGTACTAGGTATGTAATTCTCACAGGAAAAGGTAACGGTAGCTTTAACTAGATCACTACAATGTGTGATCTGCCTTACCCTTAATAACTTACCGGGGACTCTGCTATTGGGTTTGGACTGCGAGATCGTTCCCTACGTGCCTGTACCCTCTGCTTCAACAACTCCATCTGACGAGTTTTCTCATCCTGTAGTGAAAAGCAATTTGATTTTCCAAATTATTCTAGATATAGTTTCCTGTGTACTTTATTAATCAGTTATTGCTACATGGCAACTGAAATATCTCAATTAATGAGAATTTTAGAGTTCAGAAATTTAAATTTAAGACTTGGTAAAAGGAGATAATCTAACATGTGTTTTTATCTTGTTAGATATAAAAACAAGAATTCTAGGTCTGTCTTTATTTCAGAAATGGACAACTCTGGCCTTATTTGTTAAACTACTAGTTGTATGGAAATATACCAGAATAGTTCTGATGTCACTAGACACTAATATTGACTCAATGGCATTATTTCTATCTTTGTTGAAATATTTTTGTGTATTCTGTCAAAAGTAAACACCAACTAAAAAGACACTGACCTCTTTACTTTTCTGGTATGTTGATTTATTTCTTTCTCCAATTTCAAATAATTGCTGAGCCTCTTCTTGTCGTTTTCCTTTTCTGTGTTCAAGACGTCTCTGGAGCTAATGATGAAATGAAAATCATTGTAAATTCATCATTCTATAACAAAAGGAATGTATAATATCAACATTACAGCAATATAGATACCTGGTAATACTTTAATATTACCTAATATAAATACAGTGCAACTTCTCCAAACTGATCCTTCTCAAAACTGACCATCTCTTGAAACCGAATGAAATTTTGATCCACGGAATGACATCCTCTTTATTACAGTAATGAAAACCTTTCCAATATCGATCCCTCTCAATTCCGAATACCGTACTGATTTTGTGTCCGAAATGATTGAAATATACCAAAAATCACTTCTGAAAACCGGCCTGACCAGACCAACAAAGATCCGAGTTGTAAGCTGTGTGCCCCTAGTGTAAACACCTGTCATGGACGGGTTTTGTTTACTATACCTACCCTGATTGGGAGGATTATAATAAACACAGTGTATAGTCATCTCCAACGACAAATCATATTGAACAAGTCCATTGTTTCACCAATGTGAGAAATGGTTACAGATAAAATGAAAAAAAGTACTGATGCAAAGTTAGAAAGCCACATTTTCGCTTCTAAATCGTGAGAAATTCAATAATGTTATTTTAACACACGCAGAATGGAAATAATAATCAAATGTTGTTTTAGAAGATAAATTTTTATACCAATCAACAAAAATGCATATTCATCAAATATTCATTGTTTGGTAATACTTTTGGACAAGTAGGTAATGTTATGTTAGTTCCGAGATCACTGGGCAGTGCATAGATTTCTAGATTTCTTTTAGACTTAAGCCACATATACAATACAAGTGTCAGTCTTTTCACTTTACTATATAATTTTACTCCATATAACTTTTTTCTTTGTATTCAGTTGGATGTGTGCAGCATAATTGCTGAAAGTGAACGGAACCGTTAATGTGATAGACAGAACAGAATCAAGGTTCAATTTTACCCGAGTTTGGACTGGTTAGTTTCCTTCACTTCTACAAACCAAACCCTCTCTAAACTGGCCAAATATTCATGTCCCATACATTGTTGGTTTGGAGAATTCCACTGTACTGCTAAGTATATCATCACAGTAGTGAACATGACACAAATTACAACATCAATTTCCAAATAAGGCAAGATAAATTCTAAATCTTACTCTCACATGAAAACTACTGGGTAGGTCTTACTGGTACAAGATAACTTCTGGGTCAGTCTTGCTGGGACAAGATAACTTCTGGGTTAGTCTTATTGGGACAAGATAACTTCTGTCTGAGTTAGTCTTACTGGGACTAGATAACTTCTGGGTTAGTCTTACTGGGACAAGATAACTTCTGAGTAAGTCTTACTGGGACAAGATAACTTCTGAGTAAGTCTTACTGGGACAAGGTAACTTCTGGGTTAGTCTCACTGGGACAAGGTAACTTCTGGGTTAGTCTTACTGGGACAAGATAACTTCTGAGTAAGTCTTACTGGGACAATATAACTTCTGAGTAAGTCTTACTGGGACAAGGTAACTTCTGGATTAGTCTTTCTGGGACAAGATAACTTAAAGGTCTTTTTACCATTTCCTCCTGCTGTTTCTGAGTGTCTGTAATCTTTTTGTGCAGGCTAGTCTGCTCCCGAACAAGTTTGGAAACAACAGCATTCTTTTCTTCATCCGTAACATTAACATCTACCACAGTTTTCTCTCTGGTCATCCGGAATGGAGGTGGCATCTTTAACATAAGCAACCATAGATAATTATCTCATTTGTCATATAATTCTTTACTACAGTTGTCCTAAAGAAATGGATCCTCTCATCACTTTGTTCAATTTTCTGTACAATGACAACCTTCATCTCAGTTTGGAATAATATACATAAAGACGGTATCATCTGATTCTCTTACAACAAACCCGCTTATATTCCAAATCTGTTAGCACTTACAATGATGTATTAAGTTGTGATTTTGAGTATTTAAAGTTGGAAATTGTGAACTCCATATCTATCTCAGACAGAGAAAAAGCATCAATGAAATTACATGTGGTTGGGTACTGGTGTAAGAGAAATGAAGAAGGAAAGTCTGTGGTGGACATCCATCATGGAGCTTTTAAGATAACTTTGGTTGGTATTTAAATACAAGCCAAATAATGATGAAACTTATTGTTGTTTTGTCCTTTTAGGACTGTCTTCATAACTCAAAATATTTGTTGGATATCAAGCAATATCAAAAGAATATTATTAAGTAAGTGCACATCTAACATGAATGACTTGGAAATCACCTTTGTCAGAATAACAGTTTGAGTTTTATGGATTGCTTACTTGTATATAGCAGATTATGGTCGATGCTTTAGAAATAAACTAAGGTGAGGTAGGGGTCCAGGGCTAGGGCAGATGTGGAGGCACAAATTCACACATTTGTAGTATGTTTGATGTTTGGAGACTCATAGATCTAAGACTAGGAATTAAAGTCTATAGATTTAAAAACGATGGACTTACAACTTTGGAGTCGACTGTGGCAGGTCGAGATGAGGTTGTACTGGAGGGTGTAGATGGCGGTCGCTCTGCCTCCTTTGCCTCTTCTGCCTTCCTCTTTCTCTCCAGACGTCTCGCCTCCAGTCTCTCCTGCAGCTGTTGGTTAAAATGTTATCTCTATCACTTTGCCAAGAAATAAAACTTAATGGAGAAAGTTAGGAATAAGTATATACCAATAAAGTCCAAATGTATATAACGATACATGTTGTTTGAGTTTTCTAGTCCAAATGTTTAAAGTGACAATTACCCATACATTATGGAATATTTTGTCCTATGGTTGATAAAATAAGTGATGCACACACACATCAACATTGTTGTTTATATGTTCATGTGTTTTGGGTCAAAACTATGTTTACCCCGACTGATGTTTGTAAACACCACCAAGCCCGCTTCACTAGGAAGAAAGCAGAACAGAATACATGGTTGATCCTGTTACAAGTTCATACTACATTCAAGGATTACAAATACACATGTATCATGTTTACAGCTTTCTAATTCATTTTTCTGAGTAAGAAATGATTCTATTATAAGCTAAGTTATTATCTGATATGAAATTCATTGCATCAAAAATTAAAACAAGGAAATAGGATTGAAGAATAATCAAATAGATTGAGTAAGTAATTTGACCAATATTTATATATATATATATATGACACCTACCAGGTTGCTCTGTTTGCCTTTCGCTGACTTAATCCTCTCCGCCTCAGCCTTCTGCTGGTCCTGTGAAAGGAGAATCAACTGAGCTGCTGCTATCTCTTCTCCTTCCTTGTTCATGGCCTGAAGTTTCCTGGCAGCAATCCTTTCCAAAAGTGATTTTTGCTGCTGGTTGAAAGACTCATTCATGGCCTGAAAACCAAAATAGATTTTTTCATATGTTGTTTAAAACACTTAAAATGATATCTGAAAAACCTCCATACATTTTATTAAAAAAAAATCAACATAATCAAGTACTGGAGACAGCCACTACACTCAATATTGCCATTTTCATGTTGATTTTGAGAGAAAATTTTAATTATAGTCAGTATGAAACTAGCAATTTAATGAGTTTGATATATGAAGTGATTGACAAATAAAATTCTTGGTATTTTATCAGCTTATATATTTCTTTGTACATTGCCACAAGTAAAATAAATTATAAAGAATTGCTGAAACACATTTTACCACAAATTGCTGTGTTTGCAATATCAGGACAAGAAAAGCTATGGGCTATAATTCTGAAAGGACATAATATTGTTAGGGTCACTATTAGCATCCAACACACTATGTACCTAATGTATATACATACCAGGTATTTTATCTAGATCAAGAGCTAGTAATATCATGAACCAGAAAAAAAGAAATAACCAAAATCTGGTATAATATCACTTTATAGATATGGTCAAAAGTTCTAAAAAGTTCTCAAAAGTTCTCAGCCAGATGGCAGCACTTATTCATAAATGATACCTTTCTCTTAGCTCTCTGTTGCCTTTCTAGCTCCTTCAAAGCAGCATCTATATCAATATCACTTCCTTTCTTCTTGGCTGAAAGACAAAGAGATTATACTTATGTGTGGTATTAAAAAGCATTTGTAAAGAATGCAAATTATTGTAGACCTGATTTCAAGAATAGTATTTCACTTTGGTCAATGTATAACATTGTTTTCTTCAGGACAAGTAAAAAGTCATTGACAAATGTATCTATGATTCCAGCAAATGTTACCATCTAAGTGCCCTATATATTTTTACCGTTTTCAATGAAGGCCTCTTTCTCCTTCTCAAGCTCCTGCTCCATTTCTGCTTTCATCTTGTCAAATGTTGCAAGTGCAGCTTTGTCACCATCTGCTCCGGACATTTGGAACAACGTGGCCGTCAAACTGTCATACCATCCTTCACGCCGGGATGTGCGCTGAACTCGCTTAAGACGCTGGAGGCCATCAGAGTCCTGGAGCAATGTAAACAAATTTTATAAGATGATGTCCGAGAGAGGAAAGAAACATGCCAAAGAACTGATATGTAAATGCTTCCTCCACAAAAAAATGTTGTTTTCATCCAATGACATTCGTATGGAGCACATTGATGACATTAATCTTGTGTTTGGATTGGTCTGATTTTATTGATAACAGGCAAACTGTAAACCAATCTATTGAAAGATATACAAATCAATGAGATTGTTTTGAGACTGAATGTAAATGTCTGTAGTTTGTGATGTGGTGCTACTGTGAGAAGCTTTACACAAAATCAGTATCCATCAAACCTCCAGCCTCCCGTGATGACACAAGTGTACCTGTTTTGTTACCTCTTTTGTTACCTGTTCCTCTTGCTGGTATCAAACTAAGTCACCAGCCACTTGTGATGACACAATTGTACCTGTTTTGTTACCTGTTCCTCTTGTCAGTATCAAATCCAACCCCCAGTCACGCACGACAACACAAGTGTAACTGTTTTAGTTACCTATATCTCCTGTCTGTATCAAATAAAAACCCCAGTCACCAACGACAACACAAATGTTCCTGTTTTGTTACATGTTTCTCTTGTCAGTAATAAATCTAACCCCTGGCTATACACAACTGTACCTGTTTCTGTATAAGAGACTGTATTGCCTTGCTCTCTGTAGCCTGTTTTTCCTGTAGATCAGCCAACAAGGACACACTGAGTTCTTCTCGAATGCTTGCTTCAGTCATATCTGGTCTGTTGGTCCTCAGGTTACGCTCCTCCACTGAAACAATTAAATACAAGAAAAGTTAGTTCTAAAGATGCTATTTCATTTTCAGCTCAGAACTTTATACTGAGATATAAATAGCGTTATCATCAGAAAAATGCTAGTATCTGGTATTAAGTTTTGATTAAGTTTTCAAAGATTCTGTGAAAGGACTAAATTTGATACAATAAAAATTTTTGGGTGCACTATCAATTTTTGGCAAATAGGCCCAGCAATGAATTTGCACATCTACATTAATTGCCATATAGACAATACATAAAAAGAGCAATAAGTGCAATTACATTTCAGTGCAATATATTACAGCCTTTTATTTTATAACAGATACTGCACCCTGAGTGAAAATATCTGCCTATTACTTACGTTCAAGTCTCTGTACCATTGCTTGTGTTAGGATACGTGTCTGTTCTCGTCGACTCTCGGCTACCTGTTTGTAGTACTTGTCCCATACAGCTTTGTTTACTATTGTCTCATCAAATCCCAGGGCAACTGTCTGAGATTTCTCACGCCATTTACTTCGCTCCTGTTCCAGTTTCGAAAGATCCATTTTCAAGTCCTACCGGAAAAAATGCACAGGATAACATATGATATCTTAGTACTTTCTTTCTCTACTCAAGTGTTGGAAATAAAATTGAAATATATTTTCTTTTTCATTTTTCATCCTTTTAGGCAGACTGACAACTTATGAAACATTTACGTACCTCCGGAGACATGGTAGAAGCTTGTTTGCATGCTGTAGTATCACTTTTAGCCAAAGTGAAGAGCTCCATTAGTAAATCTCTCTCCTCACTCTGCCGTTTGTCCATGAAATCTAAGATAGCTCCCTGAGTAGCACTGCCATCTGTGTTACAGAGAAAACATTTACTGATACACTGTTTACACTAATGTTTCCTAGGTATCTTAAAGTTTGAAAAATTGGTCATATCTATCTTTACAATACACATATATATACCATTAGAGATGTAATATAATACCCTTCTTATATAAGACATCTCATGAATAAATGATAAACTGAGACACTACGTTGACAGTTTAGGCCATTAAGAGTTGTCTTGTATTTGAAATCATTACTCAGATATCTATCTACAATAAAGCACTGATACTTATTCTGTTGTATAATTCTCCCTTTTCCTTCTAAATATTTTCCTACGGTTTTATTTTTGATAAAACAAAAATTTTAACCACTGGGGAAAAAACACACACTTTGCAGCACACTGGGAACAAAAAACCTGATACTATGGGTTTATAATTTTCCAATGCTAACGCTATTTTGTATGTTGCTTTACCATGTTCAAAATAACATCTTCTACAGTTGTAGAATGTCTTAAGAAAAGTAAACACTATTACTAGTATCTTTCTTTCTTAATTTCCTTGCCAACAAAACTGCTTTAAATCGGAAATCACATCATCTTGTTTTCAAAACAAATATTTAATGAACTTCTCAACATAGGATATCTGTGACATCCTTACAAATCATCCAAGCTTTTCTTTAATTTTAGATTAAAGAAATATAATGCTGAGACAAATTTATGACGGAAATCTTTTGACCTTATTTTGTCAAAGAAAAAAAAGTTTATAAATAATCAAAAGTAATTTATCTTTCCTGTTAGTATTTACATTAATTATCAAACGATAATTAGTACAGAGACAACTTTTTGTGTCTGCTTTCCTTTGTTGTTTACTCTTCCTATTTGTTGTGAGTGGGTACATAAATACAATAGTATGAATCATGCTTCTTTCAGTAACATATTACTGCCTTCAGTTCATTAATCACGTACAGAAACAATCAGCAGATTAATTTAGTAGTCATAAATAACACATGCTGTTAAAATGATTTTTTTTCAAAAATTTTACAGTGCTACCCTATACATATGTATATCAATGATTTACCACACCTAATTGTCTTAGGATATCATAATAATTTACCAATCCTAATTGTCTAAGATATTATAATGATTTACCAATCCTAATTGTCTAGGATATTATAATGATTTACCAATCCTAATTGTCTAGGATATCATAATGATTTACCAATCCTAATTGTCTAGGATGAGACAATGATTTACCAATCCTAATTGTCTAGGATATCATAATGATTTACCAATCCTAATTGTCTAGGATATCATAATGATTTACCAATCCTAATTGTCTAGGATATTACAATGATTTACCAATCCTAATTGTCTAGGATGAGACAATGATTTACCAATCCTAATTGTCCAGGATATTACAATGATTTACCAATCCTTATTGTCTAGGATGAGACAATGATTTACCAATCCTAATAGTCTAGGAAGAGACAATGATTTACCAATCCTAATTGTCTAGGATATCATAATGATTTACCAATCCTAATTGTCTAGGATATTATAATGATTTACCAATCCTAATTGTCTAGGATATCATAATGATTTACCAATCCTAATTGTCTAGGATATTACAATGATTTACCAATCCTAATTGTCTAGGATATCAAAATGATTTACCAATCCTAATTGCCTAGGATGAGACAATGATTTACCAATCCTAATTGTCTAGGATATTACAATGATTTACCAATCCTAATTGTCTAGGATATTACTATGATTTACCAATCCTAATTGGATATCATAGATTTACTAATCCTTATTGTCTAGATGAGACAATGATTTACCAATCCTTATTATCTAGGATGAGACAATGATTTACCAATCCTAATTGTCTAGGATATCATAATGATTTACCAATCCTAATTGTCTAGGATATTACAATGATTTACCAATCCTAATTGTCAAGGATATTACAATGATTTTCCAATCCTAATTGTCTAGGATGAGACATTGATTTACTAATCCTTATTATCTAGGATGAGACAATGATTTACCAATCCTAATTGTCTAGGATATTACAATGATTTACCAATCCTAATTGTCTAGGATATTACTATGATTTACCAATCCTAATTGTCTAGGATGAGACAATGATTTACCAATCCTTATTATCTAGGATGAGACAATGATTTACCAATCCTAATTGTCTAGGATATTACAATGATTTACCAATCCTAATTGTCTAGGATATTACAATGATTTACCAATCCTAATTGTCCAGGATATTACACAAAGTTGAACTGCATACATTCGGAAGAGAAATCGATCACATCCCTGAGTCTTGGTTCCTTTTCCCTATGAGTTTGCAGCACAATAGCCAAACAAAGCTCAAGTTGGGTTACACCAGAATTAAGCAAAGCATTTAGCTTGATAAAGACAACAAAATCCTGCCATCAGCTAGCATGCTGATCAAAGATAAAGAGTATCATGGAATGGCTGATTTACACTGTAAATGGAACAATGTGAATAAAACTTCATCTGTTGTTATAATAAGTTATTGATTTAGCAAGGAGATTAATTCAGCATTTCTAACATGACAGTAACATCTCATTCTCAACAACAAAACCACTCATGTAGTGCTAGATTCTTCTGTCAACTGTCTTAAGCTTCTGTCATCAAAACTTGTGAGGACATATAATCATTTGTTGACTAGGTTTGAGGTCAACATATGTTATGTTGAACCAAAAGACTACATTGTTTTACCTCAGACAACAGTTTGGTCTTAGGGTGTAACATAACACATGTTGACCAAAAATCCAATGCTTTGTTATACCTTCTACCATTGATATTTAATCTAACATTTCAGATAAATATAAATGATAAGACAACATCATTTCAAAAATCTTAATTCTGATACAAATTTTCAACAACAATAGGTACTTGTATAAGTATGTACTGTCAACTATATTCAAAATAGCGGAAATTGTCAATTAACAACCAGGAAGTACCAAACAGTAATGAGCTGTAATGTAAGCAGTTAACATTAAGATGTTGACCTGTAACCATTGTTCTGGGGCAAACATCTGGAATTTTAGAGTTTATTCACCACAGGAAATTACAGAGAAAAAAACAATAAAGGCATAACAAAATATATTGTTGCTTATGTACAAGGAAACAAACTACAATCAAATACTTTATATTTATGGCTCTGGATTAATCTCTGAGTGGCCAAACTCTGACAAAAATCCAACTCGGATTTCTAACAAGGCAGCACATCTGAGATATCAAGTTTCAATGTATCAACTCTCCATTATAATATCAGCTACCATTTTAGTGGGATTTTTAAAAACTAATGTATCAACTGTGATATTAGATATCAGTCGACTTTCAACTGCAATATCTGGTACCATTTAATAGGGATTTTTTACAATGTATCAGAGCTCAAATGCTATATCGGGAATCATCAACTTTTAACATTAAAATACACACAAGCAAAGGACGAAATCATGCATATTTCTGCTGAAGCTATTTTTACATAGGTAAAGGCTTGTGCAAACGTTCACAATGGTGCCTGATTGAGCAAATGTCACACCAACACAATCTATTAAGTGTTGAGTGTATTATTGTTTTGGTTAAATATGCACACACAATCACCTGCTCTCTTTGTTAAACCTGCAATCACTGTTAAAAAGAATTCAAAACAATCACTTCATAATGCTATAACTGAATGAGAACAACACCTTTTTCTGTGTGATGGAAACAAACCATTCCAGATTCATTGTCATCTTTCAAAATATATAGATAAATCTACTACTTTTCTGATGCTATATCTGTAACAGTGACAATAAAATTCAAATTTGACATCATGTCTGAACCCTGTTTGAACTGTACTGTGTATACAGCTCTCCTTCAATTTAACTAAATCAGCAAAAATATCCAGGTATATTGTTTAAGTGGCTTAAATGTGAAAAAAATAATACAGAAGATATTCTAGTGGTGTATATATAAAATTAAAGTCATATAACAAATTTATTCTAGTAAGTGCCCCTCCTAATGAAAGCCCCACATTCTTCACAGTATCTTTCCTCACTAACTCAGACATATCATGCAGTTTAACAAATCTCCATGCATGTACAGCTGAAGTCTACAACAATGCAACACATAAATTCAAAATATACTAGTGTAATCACACAGCATTTACCGGTAACTAAATTCCATTTTACAGTTAATGACAACATTGCCATATGCTGGTTTCACTTTTCAGGAAATGCTCACTAAACTTCCACCAAATAATTTATATGAAACAGGTCTTTTATCTCTGTTGTAATACCTGCATATTTATCAATATTTTCTTATTTATTTATATCCTTTGTTTTTAAACACCAATCCTGCACTATTTCCACACTAGGAATTAGGAATGTACGATGACCATGACTACAAGTATTTAGATTGAGAAGTACATGGGTCACTCATCTTGGCCTGGTTGTTACATAACTTAAACAAGAGGCCCATGGGCCATAACGGTCATCTGACGTAAAAAAACAAGATTTCAAATTTTGAACTTAAGAAGAAGTCGAAAATGTGTTTTCAAGATGGTGGCCATGTTGGATTTCGGACCAACCCAAAATTAACAAACTTTGGTCAGGATCATGTCACGATCATTTCAGGTAAGTTTCAGCTCAATGAGACATGTAGAACTTTGGTAAGATAACCTACAAACATTCTTGACCTCATTTCATTTTATACACAAAATGCACATTACTTAAAGTTCAATTTTAATTGTAATTATACACAGACAACAGTGACAGGTATAGTCAGTTTTGTAAATTCTTAATAATGCATTAATGTTTAACATTATTGTGAATATGTAGGGAAATGAGATTCCCATTACAGAAAACAAAAAACAACTTCATTACCTTATCTTTATAGTTCATTTTGAGTGACCTGTCACTACTCCAACTGATTACACCTGATATCTATATATACAGAACCCATGCTGTATTTACCATTCTGATCCTTGGCATCTTGAGTCAGCTCCTGTATTCCAGCAGCCTCATCATCAGCCTTTAACCTCTCCTCTAAATTCTCCTTGTCCTTTTTATCTAACTTCTTCCTCTTCCTGGCTTCCAACCTCTCCTTTGCCAGAGCTCTCATCCTCTGTCTTTCTGCCTCGATACTGAGGTCACAAGCAGATATCAAAGATCATAGGATAAAAAGGTTTGAAAAGTGTGTGACAACTGTAAGTTACAAGCTAAAACCCAAATACTCAATTTCTACATGTAAAATAAAATACCCGGTAACAGGATTTTTTTTTTTTTAAGTACTTAATAAGGAAATTAATCTTTACATGTCTACTACTTATTTTGGTTCCAAACATGTACACTAGTTTTAGAATTATCAGCTTTAGTATACAACAATACTTCACATGAAACTTCTAAAGGAGCAAAACTCCTATTTCATGTAAAATTATTTAACTCAAAGTTACAACTTATGTGTGAAAGATATTTCGGTAACATTGTTCTGTACATGTATAGTGAATTTTATTTAAAGACTGTAAGCTCCCACAAAAATTTTGTATTATGAAGTAAGTCTTACTTCTGTTTCTGCTTTTCCTCCGCTTCATGTGCCATTGAGAATATCAGTGCTACAGAGTCCAATTTTTCTTCCTGTTTCATACGATTCTTGTCCCGCCGTAACTTAGCAACAGCCAGCTGCCGCTCTCTCTCCTGAGCAATTCTATCGTTCTGATTCTGTAGCGACCTCATCAAAGCATCTTTCTCATCATCAAACATTGTCTGCAGGTTTTCTAGCACATTCTGTATCAAAGTATCAGTAAACAATGAAAGTTTGTCATTTTTTTCCAAAAAAAACTGAAATAATTTCAAAGAACAGTGTTTTTTTTTTCATTAAAGAAAGCTTATTAACATTCTAATGTCCTAATGCCAGTGCCAAAGTCAAAGAGGTTGTTCTCTATTTTAATATGAAATTGTTAATAGTATGTACCTACAACTAAAAGTACTAACAATTAAATGATATATATGTATGACACATTTTTAATGGCAGACATAAATAAACATATATATATACTGCACAACCACACCCAAGTTAAAAACTACATAATTGTTCTCCTCATTTCAATTTAAGTTTATGTTTATAAACAGTAATTTTCTACCCCAGTAACAACGTAACAATGCGTATAGATACCCTTCTTCGCTGCTTTGTTTTTTCCTCCTCCTCTTCTTGTACAATCTGGTTTAGTGTGTCATCGTCAGTTGACAATCCCTGATCCTCTCTCTCCTTTCTAAGTTCTTCCTTTCTTTCCAACATGTCTTTCATTTTCTGTTCTTCATCCCTCTCATCCTCCACAAGAAGTGATTCCAAAACTTTTTAAGCAAAATCAATTCAGATCCAATATGTAAATATTCCTGTTTATAAATTCTTATATCAACATTACTTTCTCAACTTCAGAAACAAAATATCAGTTATGATGTTGGACACTTTTCCATTGTCCTGTCATAAGCCAAGCACATAAGTCAGGGAACACTTCTGCCCTCTTGGCTTAATTCAGAACAATTACCATGATATAATGCTAAACATAATAAAAAAGAGAAGAAGATTGACAGATATAAATCTGGTCCTGTCTTATAGTAGTAAAGTAGAATCTGGTCACTCAACATTGATTGGTCACTAAATTCTAACCTGTTGTTACTCTATGACGTAATTATGTACTCCAACTGATTGAGGGGATCTGGTCACTTCACATTGATTGGTCACTAAATTCTAACCTGTTGTTACTCTATGACGTAATTATGTACTCCAACTGATTGAGGGGATCTGGTCACTTCACCTTGATTGGTCACTAAATTTTAACCTGTTGTTACTCTATGAGGTAATTATGAACTCCCACTGTTTGAGGGGATCTGGTCACTTCACCTTGATTGGTCACTAAATTCTAACCTGTTGTTACTCTATGACGTAATTATGTACTCCAACTGATTGAGGGGTTCCTTAAATATATACTTAAGACACATCTATCCACTTTACTAAGTATAGGGTATAATTCATCAGCAGTGTTTATAGTACAAGTTACAGTGAAAAAACCTAACTTCTCCATGACGAATTCAGGTGAAAAATAAAAGACAGAGAAGGGATAAATACATCTACACATTGCTGAAAAGTGGTGGAGGTCTACATTTTTAAGTGAACACAGTAAATAGACGTACTTTCATTGTTTTCTGTGAGATCTCCATACAGCTGGTTTGCTTCAGTCAGATTACCATCCTCCCGCAGTTTTCTCTCTTTCAGCTTCAGTTCTATTAGTTTCTTTTGTTTCTCCTTATCACTTAGCCTGTTCCATTCATCCTCACCCATCCCTTTGATCAGAGCCTAAAACACATTCCAAGAAATAGCCACAATTTTGAAAATCATAAGTGCATGGTAAAGTCATCTGATTTATTTAGTTAAGTTACATTTCTTTAATATACAGCATTTTACATAATTTCTGGAATTGACAAATCTCTAAAAGTGGTTCACTGTAGGCCTTCAATTCTCAATTGATATAAAATGTAGCTATAGGACCATCTTTTTAGTACAATGTCTTACAGCCTCAAGTAGTTTTTCTCTCAGTGCGTCATATTTCTGCTCCAGAGCATCAACCAGTTGTTTGTCTGGGTCTTCATCAGCTTCAGTCTCGTTTTCAACCTCTCTCTGAGATTTTCCCAGAAGTACAAAGGCTACATTGTCATTCCAACCTTCCTCTTGCAGCATCCTTTGTACTTGAACAATTTGTTGTAAAGTCTTTGGGTCCTGAAATAGTGATTTACAACAAAAATCAATCAATGTTTTATATGAAACTTTTCTTAAGAACTTAAGAATATTGAATAACAGTGAAAGTTGATGTAATTTTGCCCCATTTGGAGGTGCCAGATGCAGCTCAATTCTCAATGTAATGGAGGAATATTACCGTTGGAAGGCTCTTGTGTTCCACAACTTCAAAAATTCATTTAAAAGAGTTGAAATCCGTAATCTTATCAACAAAGGAAATGAGTGAATTTAATAATGTCTGTACATATTTATGGTTATGCGAGTGTAGAATTGATGGTACATAATACCTTACTGGTCTTGGCTAATGAAATTTCCTGTCTAATTTGTGATGTAAATAGTGGCAATCCCAGCTTCAATGGGGACAATGCATTGGTAAAGGAAGGAGCAAGGTCAAAGTTGAGAGTTCAGGTCATCTTACTAGTCTCTACTGGTGGACATTTCCCTTTAGTCTAGTGGTAAGGTGTCTGCTTTGAGAATGTTGCTAATTTGCGCTCAAGCATGGACAAAACATTTTTCACTATAATTACCAGATCCTATTACACAACCTTAATGCTTGTAATATCAATGTATTAACTACCACGACTAGGGGATCTCTTCCTTTCAACCTTAGGATCAGACAACGAATGAGGGCACATTTTTGGGTTAAAATAATTAAAAACAAGAGGCTTACAGGCCTTAAGGGTCATCTGACTATAAAGACCTATATATATATATGAAAGAAGTCAGATAGGCCTAAAATAAATTGTTCAACTACACTACAACTTACATAGAAAGCATTGGTTGGTTCACGAAAACATTTTCTGCAAACTTGAAATCATATTCTTGGTACATGCACTACACAAATGCCATAACTTTGGCCATATTGCTTGTTGAATAAGCATGCAACAGGCCCAATATCAAGACCCTTGGTCTTTTAGTCATTAAGAAGAAGTCATTTAAATATTTCAACACATTTTATCCCTGTGACCTTGAAAGTGGGTCAAGGTAATTCATTTAACAAACTCAGTAGCCCTTCATCCCATTATGCTACAGGCCCAGTATCAGTACCCTGAGCCTTCTTGAGAAGTCATTTGAAAAAAAAAGTTTATGCACAGTGGATGGCACACAACAACGGACAAAACACAATGGCTTTAGGTCAGATGATCTAATAACTCAAATAATCAAAGTTTTCACTTTGTGATGCTGCAGTGAGTTAAAGATTACTTTAATTAATGATCATAATATTACGACTCATCGTGATATCATAAACATTTTGATTACCTTATTCTGAATATCTGCCAAGAGGAGGCGACTCTCACTGTCCTGTTGTTGCTGGAGATTGGAGAGAATGTGAACTTTAACATCATCTTCAGAAAGGTCATGACCTTCTGACCTCATCTTTTCTATCAGACTTTCCATCTCAATACAAGCAGCTTCCTACAAGTCAAGAACAAACCTCAAATGAATTTTGATAAGACTGCATATGTACATATAAGTATAGGATATGTTCTTCAACAATGGTGCAACTTTTAACTTTAAAATGCAACATTTTAAAAATGTCATCATATTGAGTCCTAGATTTTACCCAAATTTCCATATAGGTAATTAAAATAAGTGGGATTTCTTATAACACACATGACACTTCTAGTGGAAATTAGATTAAAACATTTTGGTTTAAAATTTCTAGGACGAATACCAACCCTAAATATTTCTAGTTGTTCCTCTTGATCCTTTACGTCCCCATCCCTCCAAAGTTTTCGTAGTTCTTGAAGCTCTGCTAGTTTGTCTTTCCTTTGTTCTTCTGACATATTGCGTATCTTTTCCTTCAGTGAACTGTTGGAGCTCTCATCAAGAACCTGTAATGTTGACATTTTAACAAAACATACCTTTAGAATCACAATTTCCCTAGTATTCTTCAGCTTTACAGTGATGAAAAGTGGTCACAGATCATTTAAAATTCAGCAAAATATTTGTTATTATTCAAAGCACTGTCAAATCTGTAAAACCCATATAAATTTGAATTTCATTATTCTTTTGTTAACACAAACTTGTAGCCAATCAAAATATTAGAAAGACTGAATCCTCAGTTCAAAGTTTTGAATCAAAGACTCAATTAAAATTCTCACACAAAATGTTTTGAGCAATTATGATAATTTCTTATGATCTTCTAAATCTAAAATGGAATACTGACTTGAATATTTTGATACCCCACTTTTCTCAATAACAACTCATTGAATTATCAAATTAATTACAAGTACCACATCAACATTTTTAAACTTGTAATACATATTATATAGAGTGACTCTTCATGTGAATTGTTTTTGACAATGATGTTCTTTAACTTTATATATACAACCAATTTGACTAATGTTGCCTTAAATTTGTCCTAGTGAGTGAAATCATGTGAGAGGAGTACTACCTGGATAAGGAGCTGTCTCTCCTTCTGATGGCGTTTGTCCACCGCCATAGTTACTGCCTCTCGTAATACTATCTTGTCCTCTGTTTCAATATTAATTTCAGGCTCTTTATCGTCATCTTGCGTCTGTCCAGCTGCTTTCCTACGTCGTGCTGCCTCCAGTCTCTCTCTTGCAAGTCGCATCTGTCTCTTCCTCTCCTCCTCCATATCCTCTTTCATTCTGTGGATAATTAAAACATAATTCTAAAACAATAATAATGTTTTGATGAATAAACTTTTTATTTTCTAGACACTTGATATGATACCACTTTGATGACCTTGATACTAGATAGTTACTATTTGGTCAGAAATATGCACAAATTTTATGCCGATTTGCTTTACATATCCTACAAAAAAACCCAGATGGTTAAAAAATAATTTTTGGCTCAAAATCAATAGTGGTGGGAAGCATGTCACAGGATAATGACAGTATTTGATTGCATGCCTACTGAAAATTTTATTAAACAAAAGTGGGAATATCACAAGGCATTGTTGTGGTTTAATATATGATGAAGGTCGATAAGAATCCATGTCATTATAAAATATCGCGAAATGTAAATGGTAAACTGGCATTAAGTGTCAAAATATTCTATTTTTTTGCAAGTTAACTATCTGCTTCAATATTTGCTTATTATTATCAAAAATGGCACTCTACCCAGTTTATTATTTTTTCTGACATATGTCTTTATTGTAGCATCCAAAATGTTTTTCCTCACTTTAATTAGTTGTCAAAAAGAATAAAACTTTAACAGCAATAGATATTTCTAGTAACAGATATACTGTACACTTACATCAATATGGTGTATAAGACTGTATCACAGTATCTATACACCACATGTCACTGTAATAGTGTCATGATGGGGTTTCATTGTCGGCATGCATCGTAAATGACTATATTTGTTGGTGCAGAAAAAGGTGTGACAAAATAACATTTATTTTTATTACAAACATCTATAAATTAAAGAATGAACTGTTCACTGACTTGTCATCCCGCTCTTTGGCCATGCCTATTACTAAAGCAGCAGAGTCAAACTTGTCCTCCTGGCGAGCCCTGCGCTCATCACGTTTCAGTCTCATTAACTGTAGTTGACGTTCTCTTTCCTTTGAGAACTTATCCTCTCCCTCTCTGAGCCGCCTGAGTAACTCATCCTTCTCCTGCGTACATGGTATAGAAAAAACAAGGATTAAACTGGCAGTTGTAAAAAAACAGCATGATGAAATGTCAAGCTGACCAAACATCTCCTATAATAATCCCCGTTTGATTTAGATAACATTCAGAGTTTAAACTGTTATGCTATACAGTAACTAAAGTGAAAGCAAAACTGATTTGGTATTTCTGATTTCAAAAGTTGTAAATTAAGGCTGTATAAAGAACTGACATGTTCATATGCATGCTGAAGGTCACCCAGAATATTGCGTCTACGTTTCCTCTCCTCTACTTCTTCCTTCTCTATATCCTGTTGCTCTAGTCGATCACATTCCTCATCAGACAGACCTAGTTAAACACCACAACAACATAAAACTTACAGTAATCAGACTTATATATCACAGCTCCAAACTGTTATGTATTAATCTAATGACAATTTGTTTGTCCATATTCTAGTTTTGCTAAAACTTTGGGGAGAAAATTCTATGTCCAGTAAAAATGTATGTATGTTTAATTACTATCTGTTTCACTTTCTAGGAATCATTGAGTCTGAATTATTCCTATTGGGAATTCTTAAAAATATTGATTAACTGAATCACCTATAGAATAAAAACCTTTGCAAGTATTCAAGTTATCATACTATACGAATAGTCATTCTAAATATATTGACAAATCCACATATAATCTCATAAAACAATAATTGTAATTTCATCAAATTTTAAAACATTGATGATAAATTTTCTTTCCACTTAGGTAATGTAATGTATCTCCATATCTTTTACATATATCAATGTTTATAAGGGAAAAAAATTTAATATGGGAATTCATTGCAAACGAGGCCAGTTGTTACTATAGTAACCTTGAGCTTTCCTTTGTCTCCGCTTCTCCAGTCGCTCTCTCATCTTTCTCTCTTGTTCTTCCTTCGATTCTCCCATCAGCTTTTTTAACAGCTCCTGGTCTTCAAATGCATCTCCTGTCGGACACAGGGATGAATAACCTTAATACACATAGCTCTGATGAAAACCAATACTTAATCACACAATGTTAACTACCTATTTAATGACATCAGGTGAGCTGACCACATTGATTGTGCTGCAAAGATGTTGAATACTGAAATATTGAAGTATACACTAAATTGTTTTATAGAGACCATTTTACAATTGAATCCTACCAAGTATCCTTGCCAATTCATCAAATTTTCCATCTCGTCTGAGTTGTCTTTCCTTAAGTTTGAGTTCCATGAGCTTCTTTTGCCTTTCTTTCTCAGACATCAGCTTCCAATCAGCCTCGCCAAGCTGTAAATATAGAACATTGACAAAATAGTTTTCCATAAATCAAACTTTAGACTTGACAACATCTTTAAAACGTTCATGATGCAGAAGGTCAGAAGAAAAGAATTTGAGAATAGGCCAAAGAAGATATAATTTAATATTTCAAGCTGCAAGAAGACCTGTGGAAAATGGAAAAAAGGCCAAAAAATAAACAAACTAACTAAAACAAAAAACACCAGTTATGTTTTCTCATGCCATCATTCAGCAATCCCTTTCAGCTGAAACTGAATTTCTGAAACATGTCAACTTAAGTTTTAATAGTGAATTCAAAATAGCTTCTATTACTTAAGCAAAAGACCTACTTGTTTTATGAGAGCTTCAGCCAAAAGTTTGTCCCTCAGGGCATCAAATTTCCCATCAAGAGCTTCAAGTAGTTCTGTGTCACTGCTGCCATCTGTGGATTCAGGGGAGAAAACCACAACTGCAACATTTTCAGCAGCGTTGACTCTTCTGGATTGTATAACATCTGACTGCAATGTGTTTAATTCCTCCCAGGTCTGAAAAAAAATGTTTCAAAGGCGGAGATAACAGTCTCGTACAACCTGAATAATAACTAAAACTATGACTTCAGAGGCTTACCGCATATGAAGAAACGTTAGCAGCGGTTTAACTCTTGCTTACTTTGCCCTTCTGTCCATGGGCAGATCTTTGATATCAAAACTAAAATACATGTTTTGTATATCAGGGTGATTTTTTATCAGTGACAAAATGGATGTCTTTATCTGACACATAAAATTCCTGAGAAAACTTTTCTTTGTAAACAGTAATAGTGATCTCTACAGAAGGTAATTCACTGTGATGAATAGTCATATCATGTATGTATCTGTACAACAGGAATCATACCACAAAGGTAACCAGGCTGTTAGTAAATTATTTTCATAAATTTTTAAGCATATGCATTTTTCAAAAATACTTTGAATACAACTAAGTCATGTGTAAGCCAGTAAAGTTGAACATGTTTATGTGAACAAATATGAAGTTGTTCATTTTTGAAGAAATAATAATTGGAAGCATATGCTTGTTATTGTTATTCTAATATGAGTCCATTATAATGTAAAAATCTTTACCATGTCAGCCATCTGTTGGAAAAGTTGCTCGGATTCCCTGTTCTGTTGAGACAGGAGGTCAGAAAACAGAGCCTGGTTAATGATGTCATCATTCACTTCCTCTTTTTGATCACCTGTTAATCTCTCCCGACAAAGTTCACGCTTTACCACCACAGCTTCCAGGAATAGATACCAGTGTTCCTTCTGTTGATCTGTAAGGGACAGAAATAGAAACCTGATGTAATTTAACAATATTGCTGTTCAGGCTAAACAATTATTATATTTTCTTGTTAGTCTGAATTTCATCATATCCTGTAAGTCAAAGAGATTAATCTCAAAATAACCAAAAATCATTGTGATTAAATTCAGTGTACATACCCAGTGGTGTAGCTTCTCTCTTGACCAACAACTGAGACAGTCTCTCCTTACGCTGCTGCTGAGACAAGACGATCACTTCCTCCAGAAGTTCTCTGTTAGCATTCTCAATTAATAGACGGTGAAAGAAACTATGTTCATCTCTATGTTTTCTTTCCAGCATCTGCATCACATTGTCCTGGTGATCCAAAGAATATATAGATTTTAAACCAAGTTGAAAATTTAGAACAAATGCTTAGGATAATGAACTATTAATTAATTGTAATAAAACATTTTGAGCCACATTTTCTAAGAACAGGATTATCTTACCTAATGCTTCTCTGAAATCAGCATTGAATACATTAAATGACCATTTGATGGTAAGGGCTAATTTTGTTTGTGTCAGTGATCAGCAACAATTATCAGACCAGATAACTGTGTGAACAGTTCCATGACCTGTGATGACATACCATTTGTGACACCTTCACAGTGCTTTTGATGATTTCGTCTTTCTGTTCTGGTGACCTTTTCTGACCTGAAGACAGAGCTTCCATCTGCATTTCTGCCAGTCTATCATAGCGGCCCTTATCCCCAGTCAGCCTAGAACATACAAAGTTTAACAGGGAATTGCAATATTACAACACAGAAAAACCACAATTAACAAACTCATGATTCAGTGCAAAGTATAGGAAAAATAAAACAGGTACAATGATAAATTAACATTACAACTTAATACATGTTTATCCGAGGAAAAATATAGAAATGATTCTGCAAGACATGTAGAAAAATTCTAATATATAAACACTGAAAGTTTTCCTTACCTTGGTTTTCCATTTGGACTCTGTCTCTCAGACAAGCCTACCAAGATGGCAGCAAAAGAAAAGTTGTTGTCACGGCAACCAAGTAGATATTCTCTATGAAGTCTCACTAAATGTAGTTCCTGATTTTTCTCCTCCATATATTCCTCCAGTGTTCCTACAAAAACAATAGCCAAACAAAGGGTTAATTACGTATTTTTTATTCTTCCTCAATTAATACATCATTTACTTCATTTGTTTCAGGATTAAATGCATCTTCAAGTAATATTGGTAAAGGTATAAAACACATTCAAATATATTGTATAAGAGATTGCTATCGCAACAATTAAAGTTTACAATTCTGTATGATAGTCTCATGACATTTTTTCATGATACCAGTTATTCAAATGTTTTTTAGAAATAATAACAACAAAACATCATGGATATTGTTTGATCAATCCTAATACAATATATACTGATATACATGTGTGATAAGTTATTCCTAACTCCATGACATGAATGGTCAGTTTACATGGTCACTATTGTCAGGGGTTAATAGATCTTTGTCTACTTCCATTATCATTGCTACTACCAGTACAGGCATAAAGCTGAGTGATTGTACATTGTATAGAAGGACAAAAATCTGTGTCTGACAATTTCTTCAGCAATTTCAATGTTTGTGTTCAGAAATTCTCCATAACATTACAAAAATGACATGTATGTGAAAAAAAATGTATGTCAGTTAGGAGAATATGCCTTTACCTTATTTAGTTCAGTAGGGAAAGATTTCTTAGTGTTCAACAAGCAACATCATCGTCAAAATTCTATCACAGATCTTGGCATCTTATATTTTTAAAGATACTTTTCATAGCTTTTAACTCAGTTTCATCCAGAAAATGGATCAAAGTTATTCAAACTTATTATCATCCTTTATATTAGAGGATACAATGCATTACATAGGCTTACATGTGTTTTGTGTCTGGTTGGGCAAAACTTTACTGTTACTAACTTTACTTGTGATAGCTGTTGGTTTATGGCAGGTGTATCAATGTATGAATTTCAATTCTTGTCACTATGTTTAGAAAGGCAAAATAACTCTCACAAAAGGAAATAAATGTGTGATTCCTTAGGCTTTTAATTTTAAAGGACACAGTAAAAAGAAGAAAATCATCAATTTGATGTTCTAATTATGCAAATATTCACATTCCTTTCCAGATCATTGAACTTTTTAAACTATGTGATAAGTCTGTAATTGATATTCATGATTTGAATTAGGACATCCATGAAGCAGAATGCCACTTGTGATAAAGTTTTTAATTTAAACAGATAAAAGTAGCCAAAAAAAAGCACTCAAGCTATTAGGCTATATCACATTTTCCATGTAAATGGACTTAAAACAAGTATATAGTGGAATTCACAGATTCAACAGACAGATAAATAAACTGACGCAAATCAATAAAATATGTATGTAAAATAATGTACATAGTGTATTACAAGTGGTGGCACAGGAACATGGCATAAATTTCCAACCCATGGTCCATATATATACATTATAGTGACTTGTCACTATGGGTTGGAATTTGTGCCAAATCCCTGTTCATTGAGATATGTTGTGTTCTGATGTTCAGTATCTTAACTGTTGTTAAGAGAGGAGTTTGCAGGCAAGTCTATACAGGAAAGAGTTTCTCCATAAAGTTTTGTAAAATCTAATCATCTTTCAACCAGACAGAAAAACTTTATACAAACTGAGAAAAGCAACATCGACAACTTCAAGGGAAAAATACTTCTTACAACAGTACAGGGATTACTATTTCTCACTATATCTAACATGACATAATGGTGTCTAAGTTTAAGTGTATCAGATTTGTGGTCGGTTTCCTCATCAACACATTTGACCTCATCTGTGATTGGCTATTGTATTACGAAATCAGTGCCCTACAAGAAGGACTTGTCTTTGGACCATTTAAGAATGGAGTTTCAACATCCCTTCTTGTTTTTGCTATCATTGGGAGTCTGATTTACATCACAGACCAGGTCCTGAATATTATAGACATCGTCAAAGAGGATTATCTCCCCTTGTGGTCACTAGATGTTGTCAGTGTAATCTCCATATGGACTGAAAATGTGCCACAGATCATTCTGAATGTATACATTGCAGGATGTTGGGAGAATTCTGTAAGCATACTTCAACTGATCAAGGCTTTAGCAGCCATAGTGAAGGTTCTTACCTTCATAGGATTAGCAATTGCAAACACTTTGTACAACAAATCAAAAGGAAAATTGTATGGAAAGGCACATCTGCTGAAAATCCCCATAGGAATAGGTCTGTCCATTTTATTGATTGGTTCTCTCCTGGTATTCGGTTTGACTCATTTCTTTCTCGATTCTAGAAATGTTGTAAAACTTTACAGTCCAAAAAGTTTCAATAGTTTAGAATATGACACTGAAAAATACTTTGTTAATGCCGGAATATACATGAACTTTGGTGTCAATGAACCTGTGAGTATGAACAGTGGAGAGTACATAAAGCTTACAGATATACTCTCACTGACCAATGGTCAATCAGCAGCAGTTGTAGTTAGTGTAACATACAATTCCAGCCCGAACACAAGGGTGTGGGTACAAGCTACCACGGCCAGTGATGTTACATCCCCCGAGACTGGTACCTGTTATTCTACAGCAACCACTCCTGTCTCCATAACAACCAGTTGCAACTCAGACCTACCACTAGCTCCATCAACCACCTCTGTAGTATTCACCTTCACCTACCAGTCTCCTAGCAACCAGATACCACTTGGGGATATCTTCTACAACTATAGGGTCACAACATATACTACTGGTGGTACCTGTGTCAGCAGTACTTCTATGCCTTCAATGACCTTAAAATACTTCAAGGTCATATCATCTACTAACACAGATCCCTTGGTGACCTTGTCAACTACAAATGCTGAGTACTACAGCACAGAGAGCAGTCTACAAGATATATCAGAGGCTTGGAAAACTGGCAAGTTTGGCTGTCCACCTACAGGGAGGGTCTCCCCTAGACAAGATACCTCCTTAACTGTACCTTGCTTAACGTGGGGTGCAGTTGTTTAACTTTTGCCTGTTTTGACATTTTATCAATAGCATAAACATAAAATGTTGCCTAAAGTCTGATATTTACACTGAAATATAGTACTTTTGTGGAGTTTAGGTTGAAATTAATACTGGGTGAAAAAGACTGATTTTCTGTGATGGCAAATAAGAATGTTCCCTGTATACAATATCCATAGTTTGGAGAATTATACTCATACCTTTATGAATAATAATAGTCAGAAATGTTTATTGTATTGTATAAAACAACTTGGTGTTGATAATGTCACCAAAATTCTATCTGAAATCCTTTTAAAAAGATTGAAACATGAAACTTGTAGAGGGGAAATGTTAGTGAATTATCTTGTATTCAGATACTTCTCAATTATATGTATTCAAATGTTTGTGAATTATTCCCTATTCAAATGTTAATGAATTATCTTGTATTCAAATGTTTGTGAATTATTCCCTTCAAATGTTTGTAAATTATCTTGTATTCAGATAATTCTCAATTATATGTATTCAAATGTTTGTGAATTATTCCCTATTCAAATGATAGTGAATTATCTTGTATTCAAATGTTTGTGAATTATTCCCTATTCAAATGTTAATGAATTATCTTGTATTCAAATGTTTGTGAATTATTCCCTATTCAAATGTTAATGAATTATCTTGTTTTCAAATGTTTGTGAATTATTCCCTATTCAAATGTTAATGAATTATCTTGTTTTCAAATGTTTGTGAATTATCCCATATTCAAATGTTGGTGAATATCTGCTTATTCGAATGTTTGTGACTATTTGTGAATTATTTTGTTTCAAATACTTTTACCAAATACAATGGCAACAAGTTTATTTATTTCATGAAAATAGTGGCTTAGTTTCCTATCACAAAATATGTAACTACCACTTGTACAATATGTGATAAGCTCATTACATTACTGGGTATATGTATATGTAAATATGAATCATATTTCAGTAAACATTCTTGGATTCCAATGTTCAAATGTTGTCAGGTGTGCAGCATATAAATACTGGTACGTTAAATTTTAAACATTGCCCCATAATACTGAATGCTTTTTTTGTCAAGTTTCAGATGTCTCTTTAAATCCCTATTTACAAAATTATTTTTGAAAAATCTGTCCTGAATATCCTGACCGTAAACACCAATTAGCCACTGATCCAATCAAGCTTTGATGAACTGTGTCCTGGTTAAATTACCAGTATCATCAGACACCTAATACTTGCTGCCTACACTCAACCTGTTCTAATCAAAGCTCTAGATTTGATAAAAGCACAGGATGTTGACAGCCCTCCGTAGTTCGTGTGATGTCTTCAAAAGTGATGTCTAAGACATGTATAATTCCGTTTACTGAATATGTTTATCTACCAAAATGGTTAACAGCAAAATGTGAAATAATTCTTTATAAACATCCTGAGTTAAAATAAAAACCAATATTATCTGAGACCTGGCCCCTTTTCAAATTATCAACATTTAAGAACTTACTACACCTCTGTAAGGTGACATTTTACAATTTTGGAAATGAAATTCAAAACTTTGTGAACAAAAATCTACGTATATCTCACGGCAATTTAGAAAGAATAAATATATATTAAATTTTGTTTTAGCTGCTACGTTATTATCTTATATATTGAGGATTCCTATTTCCTATATTGTCATATTGAATGATCATTGCAGCTGCTTAGAACACACAGATGTCTTGTAACAAGATAAGATCCCACCAACCTTTCAGAGCTTGCAACAAGCTCGACTTCTCATCCTCAAACCTCTGCCATATGTCAATCAGTGGGTTACATTTCTCTTCTTCATAACTTTTCTCAATAACTTGGTCAACATCTGTGAAGAAGTATACAAAGATATCGTTTATCATGATTAATACCTCCAGTTCAGTTTTAGTCACACGTATCACAGCTTATCATATCTTGCTTTATTCTCTAATAAGAATAAATTACTGGACAGGTTTGACTGGTCCGATATCAAATGCAGAGAAAAAACAAATCAAGATGAAGACATTAAAGGTTTAATTTAACACATTTTAACATTGGAAACACAATCTCGATCCTAGTTTACACTACAGTAGACCATCAATCAGGGCATTTGTAAACAAGGTTAAGATTCCAATGATAAAATTTAACACTGATTCGTACCGAATTTTGATCTAGTCTACAAAAGTGTTCAAGAGAGAATTTTTAAAGCCCTGACCTAACCTTGTCACATACTTTAACATCAACAGTCATGCACAATTACAACATTGACAAAAAAATATTTTAAACACTAATTCTTTTTTACCTGGATCTTCAAGGTTGCTAATAGCAACAGCAAACTCATTTCTCATCATCCCCATTAGAGCCAGGATTGTCTCCCTTGATGTAATGTTTCCTAAAGCTTCCCACATTCCAACAGTGTTACCTGTGAAGTCAATTGATATATTAAGTGGCAATTAGGTTGGTATCTATCGAAAATGAAAACTTTGAATATTTGCTTCTGTCTGTTATAAAGATACATAAATCTTTAAGCTATTTTCCGTTTGAGTGTTATTAATACAATGTACTAGATAATTCCTGAGTATACTGATGCGTTGTTGGCTCTGATAGGTAGTGAATTCTATTACATGTGCATAATTAATAAACTGTTACTGTACCTGTAGCCCTGTAACTGTTGACTTCCTGTCTCAACGTTATCTGCTTCTGTTGTTTTTCTCTCTCTGACATTTTTTCCCAGTTGGTCCTCCCTGATCTTTGGACCAGACATTCCAAAAGGACACATTCTTGAAGCTGATTGTATTTAGCCTCCAGAGCCTATAAAAAAACATATCTGATGATGTCTCCAACATTTATCTGTTTATAAAATAAATGAAAAGAGTTTGCTCTTAGCAATCCTTTAAAAAGTAAAATGATTTAAATTAATTTTTTTTTTTATTATTTTGTTTCATTTTGGGGAATGTACCACACAAAATCAACATTTCTTCATTTTTGATGAATACTGGTAATATTCCACCAAGATTTGTGTGTCCTGTTCCTTTCCTGAAGAGATAAGTGGCAAACACAAAGCAAAGTAGTAATTGAGACTATAATAATCATTTGGTTTTCATAGAAAATTAAATAATTCATAAATTGAAAATTTTAATTAAAACTGGAAATCAAAATCTTAAATGAATCATTACAATAGATGTACAAATATAACATTCTACAGTCATACTGTACCTTGACAAGTTCAGTTTCATGTGCCTTGCCCTCACTCTGTGTTAGGACAACAAACACATTGCCAAACGATCCTTGTTTTCTCTGCGTTTCCTCACTCTCATGTTTTTTTTTTAAATCAGCTTCTTCCTACCAGGTCCAAAGAGATGTTTTCAAATGAAAAGACTTGCCATATCTGATGTTGCATATTTTCATTAATTTAATGAGTCTAATCTACACTGAAATCTATTCATGTTCTATAAAGTAAGGTGATAAAAGGTACTGACTTGATGCTTAAATAACAGTTACATTATCTGTTGATATCAAAACCTATTTTCAAATAAATGTGATACAGTTTTTATTTTTAAATTTATACATTGCAATATGTGCTAACATGGACACAATTCTGATTTTAAGAACTAATGAAACAATACAGTACAACCCTATTTTACTTAGCCTTTGCAAACAACAACAACAAAAAAAAAGGATTAATAATGCTTTAAAATGACAAAAGTCAACAGAAATCTCTCCTGATGCAAGATGCAGTATCACAAAAAAGTATCTGATCCAATTCATGCACATCTTGCCCTATATCTGTGCCTTTCTGATTTTATTTTTTATTTTTCGTGAATTCAGACTTTCACACATGAGAGGAAATCACTAGGACTGACATTTGTACATAGATACCTTTTTATCTTTCAAATCTAAAAACCAAATATGTGAACTACACTAACCAGCCTCCCTATCATTCCCAACAATGTGGCTAGTTCCCGGTCCTGTTCCTCTTGGAGTTCGGTCAACAAGCTCACAGTTACTTCTTCCATGGATACCTGTTTCCTTGACAACTGTTCCATTTCAGATTTTTTGCATACTGCCCGTATAGCCACTGCTTCTTCCAGGACACATATATACTCCTCTTTGTCATCTGTTTTATCAAAGATTTTTAAAGAAACTCAGTGAAAAGTACACTGATTTAAACTCAAAACTCTGAACTATTAAAAAACCTACAATTTTGAAGGAATATAACAGTCGACATTGAGTCTAATTACTAGAATTTAACATTTCCAGTTCAAATTTATCTTTTACCACAGTTATTTACATTGAAACATTTCCTTGAATAAATCTAATTATTTGTCCTTTACTTTTGGAAGTAGAACATAATAAGGAGAATATTCACTCTACCTGAGTTCTCAAGGTTGAGCTTTCTACGTTTGCTGTGAAGTTCAGCCAGTCTACTTTTTTTATCTTCATCAGAGATTTGTGAAGCAGCTTCTGTTAGATCTTCTAGTCCCTCGTCCTGGAGAAATTGCAGCAGCTGCTCTCTCTCCTCACTATGGCGCAGCATCACTTCTGACAAGTATGCCACCTGCCAGCCGCCCATGTCACCTGTACATGATTTAATGAAGAACTTGCTGCTTATCAACACATTTTGTCATATCATTATGGTAGAGAAGGGTACAAAGTACAAAGATATTGAAGTACTTAACAAAACTCAACTGTTCATCAATGTCTATGCATTGTCTATAAAAATATAAGGTATGTCTTAGCTGTAAACAGTTTTCCTAACATTACCAAACAGTAATTTAAATTTAATGAGAGAAATCAAAGAAGGATTCACCATTACAAGGAAATTTTTGGAAAGACCCCCTTCACATTTACAGCACATTAATGGACTGACTTTCATTAGAGTTTGTCTGATACAGAATCATGAGATACATGTAGGACACATACCAGCATTAGGCTTGCCTGATGTCTCCCTGTATTTCTTGTAAGGCTCCTGATGAAGAAGACGTTGTTGTCGTATCTGTACACGTTTGGTGGCTAAATGCTTCTGCCTCTCATTGTCACTTACATGTCTGGTGATACAACACATCCAAAGCATTAATTACCACCAAATGAAAAAGATTTTTTGCAAACAAAAATTGTCTTGATGTATTTGTTTTAAATGACAGCAAAAAACATACAAGGTATTCATAATCAAATTTGGTGTAACTATCAAAGTGCATGAAATAAATTTTCAAACCTATTCAAATTTTTGCATCTGTCAGAGTCATGAGAAAATGAAAACTTAGGACAGTCCCAATAAAAAGTAGAGTAGGTAAGATACAAGGCGTTGCAAGCAATATCGATATCCTCATATTCCAAAAACATGAATGATGTGCAATAAAGATGGCAGAAAATGGATAACTTTGAGAAGTTTGATCATAACCTCATAACGTACGATGTTGCTGGAGTGCTGTCAACGAATTTCTACAAATAGTAACGATAAACTTGATCTTGACCCTGTAATTTGAACTTCTCTAAAATAAACTGGTCTTTTATAAATATATAAAGTTACCGCAGATCAAAATCCCTCAAAGAATGCTGCTGAGTGTTGAGTGTTGTCAAAGAATTTCTAAAAACAGTATCTGTGATGTAAAGCTAGACTCTAAGTATAAGCATTATTTTAGGTACAGGAACATCCCTGTATCCCCTCCCAGACATTCATCATGAGGTAACAAAAAAAGTGAATATCCTTGGTCATATGGAGAACATGCCTATGGAAGATGCTAGTGGGACACTTACAAAAAGAAAAGTACATGTACATACAAAAGACTGGTAGTATTGTAAAAATTATGTAGGGATGTACACATGGATTAAATACATAACTAATGTACAAAATGTCTCTTTTGTTATAGTGAATTATCTGGTAAATGTAACAATATCTGTGTACCTTCCATGAAGTGAAGCCTCAATTCTCTCAAACAGTCCCAGAAAAAGAGCTGCCACTTCAAATTTATTCTCCATCTTCACCAGGAATTCTTCAAGTTTCAGTCTTAGGATTCGCAGTCTCTGGATCTTTTTGGGAATTTTGCTCGTTTCATCAGCATGTAACCATGACAACATTGCCTCCTCTTCACCATCATATCGTGGGATCAAATCAGCAAGATGATTTGTATGGATAACATGCTCTGCTGGAACTTCATCTGCAAGTAAAGCAAATACTTGAAGATGGAACAAAAGGTAAATTTTGTCAGCCATACAGTACAGATGGCGCTTGAATGTACACACCACTACAAACCAATCCGGCACATAGCACACAATCATGTCAGAATGAAAAACACTTACAGCTCTACGTAAATACAATGAAATAACATGTACAACAAAGTAAATACCCTTTCTTTATTTACTACACACACAAGTCAATAGAGAATTATTGTATCTATATACAGACAGTTCAGAATTATTGTATCCATGTACAGACAGTTCAGAATTATTGTATCCATGTACAGACACTTCAGAATTATTGTATCCACATACAGACACTTCAGAATTATTGTATCCACCTACAGACAGTTCAGAATTATTGTATCCACATACAGACACTTCAGAATTATTGTATCCATGTACAGACAGTTCAGAATCATTGTATCCACATATAGACAGTTCAGAATTATTGTATCCATGTACAGACACTTCAGAATTATTGTATCCACATACAGACACTTCAGAATTATTGTATCCACATACAGACACTTCAGAATTATTGTATCCACATATAGACAGTTCAGAATTATTGCATTTACATACAGACACTTCAGAATTATTGTATCCACATACAGACACTTCAGAATTATTGTATCCATGTACAGACAGTTCAGAATTATTGTATCCATGTACAGACACTTCAGAATTATTGTATCCACATACAGACACTTCAGAATTATTGTATCCACCTACAGACAGTTCAGAATTATTGTATCCACATACAGACACTTCAGAATTATTGTATCCACATACAGACACTTCAGAATTATTGTATCTATATACATACACTTCAGAATTATTGTATCCATTCAGAATTATTGTATCCACATACAGACACTTCAGAATTATTGTATCCACATACAGACAGTTCAGAATTATTGTATCCACATACAGACACTTCAGAATTATTGTATCCACCAGACACTACAGACAGACAGTTCAGAATTATTGTATCCATCTACAGACACTTCAGAATTATTGTATCCACTTCAGACAGGTCAGAATTATTGTATCCACCTACAGACAGTTCAGAATTATTGTATCCACATACAGACACTTCAGAATTATTGTATCCACCTACAGACAGGTCAGAATTATTGTATCCACATACAGACAGTTCAGAATTATTGTATCCACTTCAGACAGGTCAGAATTATTGTATCCATGTACAGACAGTTCAGAATCATTGTATCCACATATAGACAGTTCAGAATTATTGTATCCATGTACAGACACTTCAGAATTATTGTATCCACATACAGACACTTCAGAATTATTGTATCCACATACAGACACTTCAGAATTATTGTATCCACATATAGACAGTTCAGAATTATTGTATTTACATACAGACACTTCAGAATTATTGTATCCACCTACAGACAGGTCAGAATTATTGTATCCACATACAGACAGTTCAGAATTATTGTATCCACTTCAGACAGGTCAGAATTATTGTATCCATGTACAGACAGTTCAGAATTATTGTATCCACATACAGACAGAATTATTGTCAGAATTATTGTATCCACATACAGACACTTCAGAATTATTGTATCCACATACAGACAGTTCAGAATTATTGTATCCAGAATTATTGTATCCACATACAGACACTTCAGAATCATTGTATCCATTACAGACAGTTCAGAATTATTGTATCCATGTACAGACACTTCAGAATTATTGTATCCACATACAGACACTTCAGAATTATTGTATCCACATACAGACACTTCAGAATTATTGTATCCACATACAGACACTTCAGAATTATTGTATCTATATACATACACTTCAGAATTATTGTATCCATGTACAGACACTTCAGAATTATTGCATTTACATACAGACACTTCAGAATTATTGTATCCACATACAGACACTTCAGAATCATTGTATCCATGTACAGACAGTTCAGAATTATTGTATCCATGTACAGACACTTCAGAATTATTGTATCCACATACAGACACTTCAGAATTATTGTATCCACCTACAGACAGTTCAGAATTATTGTATCCACCTACAGACAGTTCAGAATTATTGTATCCACATACAGACACTTCAGAATTATTGTATCCACATACAGACACTTCAGAATTATTGTATCTATATACATACACTTCAGAATTATTGTATCCACATACAGACACTTCAGAATTATTGTATCCACATACAGACAGTTCAGAATTATTGTATCCACGTACAGACAGTTCAGAATTATTGTATTTACATACAGACACTTCAGAATTATTGTATCCACCTACAGACAGGTCAGAATTATTGCATCCACCTACAGACAGTTCAGAATTATTGTATCCATGTACAGACAGTTCAGAATTATTGTATCCATGTACAGACACTTCAGAATTATTGTATCCATCTACAGACACTTCAGAATTATTGTATCCATGTACAGACACTTCAGAATTATTGTATCCATCTACAGACAGTTCAGAATTATTGTATCCACGTACAGACACTTCAGAATTATTGTATCCATGTACAGACAGTTCAAACAGTAAAAAATGTCTCAATATGGAAATCACAGAATACATTTTGTTAAAGAAAATTGTGAGTACAATTGAAAAAAAAAATTCTGTTTTGAATTACCTTGAATCTTGCCTGTGGTTTTCTGTCTTGCAAACCTCACCTCAAATTCAGGTTTGTCTTCTCCCACCATTTTTCGCAATGAAGGTAGAGTCTAGAAATATTTACATTAACACTTTAATTATTTCATAACCACTGTTTTTCCTATGTTTTTAACAATATTTTTATTCATCTCAAAAGAGTTCAACTGCTTCCCACTATATGATTTCATTTCTTGATAATTATTTTATAATTCAAGAAAACATGAAATTATTTATCACAATGAACATAATAGGAATAACTTCACATTCTGACAAATTAAGAAGTATGAACCTTGCTTTTGGGGCCAATCAGAGATTCCATTTCATCAAACATTCCCTCTCCTCTCAATCTTTTCTCTTCTTTCCTCTTCTGTTTCAGTGCTTCCTTTTTTTTATCATCTGCAAGTCTGTAGTTGTATAAAATTTTGTTAACAATATTTCCAGCATACATATTTTGTATTCTAATTAATACCCAATAATTCAACAAATCAAGGCCATGTAGAATTAATTATATAATGAGATTACACAGGTGTTTCATAGGCACAATCAAATTTTAGCACAATACTTACATTGAAGAAATAAATGCAATAATGAAATTACATCTTTGCTATGATTCCTATATTGATGACATACAAAAACTGCCATTAGCACAATAACATCTCAACATTGTTTGTTTATTGTGAAAAGTGCTACAACACGATTATTACTACAATGTTTCTCATAACAGTATCTTCATTTCCAATTTCAAAAAGACAGAAAGTTACACATTTACATTTTTACGAAAATAAACAAATGTCAGGAATTGTGGAATTTCTCTAGTATGAACAAATGTTACATAAGTCATTTCTCATTGCTTTTGATGTGATCTGAAAAAATCTTTCTGCAAATCACCTGTATAAACAAAGCAAATTTACAGTAAACCTCAATTCAGTTGAAACAAGCCTGTGATTTATTATAATTAAACATTTTAAAGTTTTTTTTCTACTTATTAAGAGAAATGTGAAAATTTTGACGGGTGATTTGCCAATACAATCATGTGGACTAAGACCATTGATAAATACAAGAGTAGGTATGCCGAAGTATTGATAGGGATAGATGCATCACAATTATCGCTCCATATGGTCATTCTTCACTATGATGGTAAATCAGGTAGCAGGTTGTTAAAGATCATTGTAAGCAATTGATACTGTCAAAATATACACAAAAAATCACTAAATAATTGTTTCAGTGTCCATTTTTTCATATCTTGATGTATTATAGGCAATCCCAGCACAGAACGTTGGCATATGTTGTCAAAGATGGTACTTCACTTCACATTTAGACAAAATAATCACACCAAGACTTTTCTTTTCTATTACATAAATGATTAAAAGACTTATAGATATGCTTTATAAACAGAAATGAGATGATTTTAATAAACATTTATCTGTAGCTCTAAGTCTCAATTCACACTTTCCATACTGATATGTCAATGCCAACTTCTGTCAAGATGCAAGCAGACATGTGCTTTTTTCAGGTTTACATCATTTCTTTGTCATGACATTCAACAGGATGAAAAACAAAATGAAACCTGTCATTTTTTAACATTTCATTAACATCTTCTTACCGTTTAAAAAGATAATCATATCTTACTCAATATATGTTTATATGTGTTTATCGTTCAGAAGGTTCCTGGCTTGCTAAGACATTTTAATTACTTTGTCATGACTTTGTGATGTTGTTGACTCCAGTTCCTTTTCACATGTATTATTTCTGATGATTGAACAATATCTTGTTTGGACTGATTGAAGGTTTAATGTATGTAATATGGTCATATTTTGTATAGTGATTCCTGTAATATCTATATTTTGTACTGTATATATATATATATATATATGTACTGGTTATATACATGTGCATGTTATTCTATTACTGCAAATACATTGTAAGTGTCATCTTTTACATGTGTGCGTAATGTGTATACGTATTGGCGAGCGTGTCTCTTTGTTTGTGTAGTGTATATGTATGTACTTGTGTACGTGAGTAGTTTTCACTGACCGACTGGACATGTGACATTTGACTGACTTTTACGGAGTTGTTTGGTTGGTTGAATTTTCTCCTGTGTATACTTCTTTTGTCTACTACTATATCGGGGTACATGTGAATCCTGGCTTGCGGGTTAGACGGGTGTTCAAATGTCAGTTTCATCGGGTTTCATCTTTCTGGTAAGTTTTCTCTAACTTTGTTTCTTTCTAGTTAAAGTATCTCTTCTAATATATTCTCCCCTGTGAGTGATGAGTGTTTGAATGAACAATATAATTGTTGCAATAATGTTTTAACTGTAACTGAACATTCAGGGTAATATTTGAAATCAACAATGTATATGTATTATGATATTTGTTAATTCTATCCTTTATGAAATTTTAGGCATTATGCATTTCTTTCTTGAAATATTCTGTAAATTGCATAAGGGAATATTTCTTATTTGTAGTTCTACCATAATTAATGACGATGTGATATTGTGGAGTGTTGCTAAGTTAATATATGCCTTGTACGTTAGTGCACGATACGTGTTGTAAATGTGATTTCACTCTATTACTATTGGAACTGTCATGTTATCAAGTATTTTATTGGATCTTATATTTCATTCAAATGTAGAAGTAATAATATTCTTTCACTCAGTGAAATGTAATGAGTTAATGAGAGAGAAGTATGAAATGTTGAATATGTAATGAGAGATTTGTGAATTTGCAAGAGGGTTTGATTATGTTTTATTGTATATCCAGAATGTCTATTTTACATCGATAAGTGATTAAACATTGAATGAACCCAGCGGTTTTGTCTTTATTGGCACAATAGCACTCGCTACATGTATGCAAGATAATTGCTGCATGCTGCTGTATTGTGAGGTAAAAGTTGAATTTGTTGCAAAGTATCACATGTGGTGTAACAATTAATTTATCCAAATTCCATCCTTGTTATTTTGGTTGTAATTAGAAGGGTAATGAAAATAGGTCACACTGTAGTATAACAAAAATAGAGCAAAGAAAATGCCTCATATCTCTGCCATACATGATAAAGTAAATGTTCAAACACTTTTCTAATTATTTTTATATGCATTACCAAATTTACTTGTGGCTAAAAGCATGTGAAGTTAGTTTGTAAGAGTAAGGCGAGTCTGCACAGCTTCAACTGAGAGAGGAGACTATATACCAACCTTTTCCACTCACTGCCATGTTGGTCTCTCAATGCCATGTTGAATATTTTTTCTCGTATTGCATTGTATTTTTTCTCCAAAGCTGACAGGTAATCTTTGTCATCTTCTCGTACCTCTACTTTACCCAAGATCACAAATGCTACATTGTCAAAATGTTCCAGCACTCGTGCTTTGTTTTCCTTAGCTAAGATTAACACCAAAGCTTCAGATGACTATAAGTATAAAAAAATCACTTTTACTCAAATTGACATGGTAATCAATATAGTTCATGATTATTTAACAAAATCACTACAAAGGACAGGTTAGATAACACAAATTATCCTATTCATTAACTCAGATAGTTATTCTCAAAATATAAAAAAAAAACTTCTTTAAAGAATGTATGTATTATATATATATATATATATATATATATATATATACATATATATACTAGAACTCAATTCTTATTGCTATAGGATCAAATAGGATTAATGTTAATGAAGACAAATTGATCATCACAACATTATTGGACAAAGGTGTGTGATTGCTTTTTTCTTATTAAAATCATACTAAACTACCTCAGCTTTCCCTCTGATGTCTGTGAGCCTCATCTCCACTTCCACTTCCTGCTGCTGTTCCAGGTCTCCAAGAATACACTCATTGACTTCCCCCTCAGACAATTTGTAATTTTCTAGACGCATTTGTTCAAGTCGACTCTCATAGCACAGCCCAACAGCTATTGGAATGACAGAAGATTAATAGTACAACTAAATATGAAACATAAGAACAGAGTGTAACAATAATTGACAAAAATAGATAATGTGACAACTTCATGCTGCAAATTTTAATCCACACAGGCCCATCTTAGAACTGAAAAGCAGCAAATATATTTTGTGAGATATCAATTTACGTCCTGCAATATTTACTGTACATGAAGACCTCTAAAACTCTGACTGGCAAAATTCTAGCAAATACTTTGCCCAATTCCCACTGATCTTAACTCCCTACAATCAATAGAAGTTGATGTCTCTAAGTCCACACCTTCCTGAAGAATTTTCTCCAGCACAGCTACATCACTATTTTTATTGTCCTGCCAACTTTTGTGTTGGTTACGGAGTGTCTTTAGGCGCTTGGCCCTCTGTTCTACATTCAGACGTTTGGCGTTGGCCTTGTATACAGCACTGTCACGTCCTTGCAGCATGTAGATCAGTGCCTACAAAACACAACAGATGATGTAGTTTATAGAGAGAACTGAAACATTTAACAATTTTCTCTTGTGTTAAAAATGACCAACAATTCTGTAATAAAAAAAACAATCTGGCACCAATTCAAATACATTTAAATCTCTTGAACATGAAAAGAAAAATAAAATCTTAATGAAGTTTATGTGTATTTGCTGATTTATTCTTTAGATTTTAGGATGAAATATCAAAACTCCTAGAGCCACACCAGTATATTTGACTAAAACCTAAAGCATGATTCAGTAATTATTTTGTGTCCATTGTGCTTGAATGCATATATATAAAAAATTAGGAACTATTCAAATCACATTTGATTATAAATGTTATACATTTTTCTATTTCATTGATATGATGTCTACCTCTCTTTCATATGAATGTTTCTTGACAATTTCTGTGATTATCTCCCTTTGAATGCCAATCGCCCCACTAGATACAGCCTGGTCCAAGTCCATTAAGTCTCGTCCAGTTCTCAGTTGTTTGTGGCCCTTCTTTGCTGACAAGCGTAACTGGGCCAGCCTCTCTGCTCTGCTACGGTCCCAGTCAGTCGCACTAGAACAAAAAACCAATTAAAATTAGACCATAATAAAAGAATTTACCAGTACTTTTATCTCAAGTTACGACTAATTCTAAAAAATGTTTTGTGAATAAATCTTACAAAAACTATATAAGAAAAGATATGTAATTGATATAAGTCTGGAGGGTTTAACTGATAGTTTTACATGTCACATTCAAGATGAAAACCTTTGCAAAACATAATTACATGTATGAAAGCCAGTTCAAAAGTAGAACAAAAAGAAAAACACAATGCTAGTTATAAATACCTGTTTGTTTTATACTGTTGTGGACGTTCAGCCAAACCTACAGCTATAGAAGCCCCAACAAATTTTCCCTCCTCTCCAAGTAACAAATGTTGCCGTGACAACCGATTGTACTCCATGGTTATAGAGGAACTTGACAGTCCAGCGGTAGATCTCAGCCAGGTGAAGACTGCATCCTTTTCCTCCTTATACCGTTTTTGTAGGTTAATTAGTGTTGCTCCACATGTTGTGTCTCCTTTAGCGAGAAATTAATTTAAATGGATAATTAAAAAGAATGATTTTTCAATTATGACAAATGAATATTGAATGTTATAGTTCTTAAACCTGCCTGATGGTGTTGATTATCTTTAGAAGCCTTTAAAAATAAGATTGTCGTCAGAAGCGACATGTAAGTAGCACAGCAGTCATGACAGCTCAGTTGGTAACATATTGGCCTACATAACCCCAGGTTAAGGATGAAAGACAAAAACTTCAAAAAAATATGTAGATTTAAGTTATGGTACATTAGTACCATCTTGCCAATTCACATATATTATTTAGTCAATTGTATCAAATTTATCAATTTATTGAACTTATTTTATATGCTGCCCTTCCTCTCATAAAATATCAGGGGCACCTATTTCCATGTAGCTTCCAGATATCTTATCAGATCTCAATTCTTGAAATTCTAACTTGATCTATGAAGAGTTTGTACGAGAAGTAAAGGACCAAGAGAAGGGTTTAATACTGGCTGATATACCTTGAATTACTTTCTGATACTCTGTCTGAATGGCTACATCAATTTCCTGATCTGAAATGCCTTGGCCTTTCAAATTTGTCCTCATTTCATTCATCTTCATCTTTTGTTTATCGTTTTCCATCCTGACCTCTCCCATTAAGCCTGTTAGAGTAGCACTTAATGTGACCTTGGACCCAGGTAGTGTGTTAATCTGCTCTTCTAAATGACCTTCCCTCCTGAGTTGTCGTTCTTGGGAACATAGCTGTTGAAATATTTCAGGCTGGTCACCATCAATGGCTGAAAATACAGAAAACAATAGATACACATGTGTTTGCAAATTATGTACTGGGTACATCTTAAAAAACACTTTCATTATATTTGGGTTTATTTTTCTCACATTCAACTTCATAAAGAATTCATACTTTTCATCTTTGATTACTTGTGTATGATATATATATTATTCTTGAAACTTATTGAATAAGCACATATGTATATTAAAACTTTATAAGATCATTTAGATTTTTCCATATATGTACAATAAATGGAAATAATCAGCTTAATTCCATATCATGAGAATACACTGAACATCTAGTATATAACCTATGTTAGATTAATTTGACTGATATACACACAGATACTTTGAAAACTATTAAAACTTATGCACACTGTACAGGTCCAAATTTATATATTAACCATATGACAAAAGGTATTATTACTTATCTATATGAAACTAAGTTTGCTGTTTCATGGAAATGGTTTAAGAAAATGTGCATCCATTCATCTAGCCTTATCATCTGTTGCCATGTGGTACCTGAAGACAAAGATGCCATTTCATACAGGAGTTTATCTCTCAACATCTCATATTTGACCTCCATTGCCTCAATCAGATCATTTCTGGTCACATGATCTTTAGGATGTCTTTCCTCCATAGTTTCATCTGCCTCTAAACCATCATCATTCAACATGGCCTCAAGTCCATTCCTCTTCCACCTGGTCACACATATTTTTATAAAATTACTCAATCAACTTAATAAACACCAGCCTACCATGCCAAAATCCAAGTTACATGAAAACAGGTAGGTAGCACTGAAGGAAATTTTGGTGTTAAATTTAAAACCATAGAAAAACCAGGCAACCACCAAATCAAATCAATGCAATGATGAATATAATGGGAATTCCTCTAGATCACATTGTGTAACATATATAATAGCAGCAGGTCAATTTGTAAGGTACAAGGTATATTCTTGTCCTCACTTACCTGTGATTTATCCGAGTGTTTACATATTATAGTGAAAAAAATTGGTGTTTCAAGAAAACATGATATTAACAGGTAAGTGACATTAACCAAAGTGACATTAACCAAAGTGACTTTAAGCAGTTTCCATAGTATTTAAGTGTATACTTACTTGTTAAGTTTGCGTTTGACATTGTAATTGACAGAATCCCTGTAATCATCCAAGGTTTCAGTGTTGCTCTGTAGTCAGAAACCATAATACAATAATATGACATAGGCACTATACCTTCACCTGTAAAAGCAGGTTTGATTTAATCAAAGTGATATCCAATTGAACTGCCTATTTCATCGCTTCACTCAAGCGATGTATCATCATTTTAAAGGAAATTTCCACGTAAGGGAAAAAAATGTCCTTGTTTAGGGAGAGTGACAAAGGTTCCAGCCTTAAATCAGGAATCAAACAACCCAGAAATTAGATGACAAATGGAATTTTCACTTGTTAAAACAATTTTTTTTCTCAAGTGTTTTGGTAAAATGTGTTTCAAACCATTGATATATATACCTAGGTATATATGTTTGTGAATTATTTCAGACTTTTAATATGTTTTTATTTCATAACATACAAGTTTGAAAAGATATTTCCTTGCTTTTTTTCTGTTCTAAAGTTTCAGCAACCCAACTGTTCAGATCACATGCAGTTTGCTGGTTTTATTTTGCCTTTTTTACCACTTCTTATTTCCACACAATACAATAAAGCACTCACTTTTCGTGAACATCAACCATCCAAAAAACACATTTAATAGTAATTCATATTATGATCTACAATAATACCTTAGATTACCATCCAGTTTTTGTAAGCACCACATTAAATTTGTCATACATTTCTCATGTATTTGCAGCCTGTTATATTTCTTCATCCAAAATATTTAATCTAATTTAATAAAACTTAACATGTCTTTTACTCTTTCGATTTGGAGTTTTGAAGCATTATTAATCACATGAAGATATTGCCCAACAGCTAAGACTATATGTTTGCTTTATTATCAGGTATTCTCTAAGTGCTTTACTACTAACAGGAAGAGAAATTACTAAAATATCTTCAAGGTACGACTGGTAGATAGAACAGGAATTTTCTCATATGCTAGGTGTAATGGACATATTTGTAAATGGCAAGTCAAAGTTTTGACAATTTTTGTGATAATGACTTTTTGTATCTATATATTTCTGTTGTGATGTCAGACTGTTGTTTATTGGTCATTGTCATGCTAACATCATGAAGATTTTGTAAACATTCTGAAATCATTCTTTTGACTGGTCACAATATACACACATTGTATATATTGTTTGTAGCTGAAGTAAACAAGTATATTGTTAATTCATTGTGATATTCACCTCCTTTTTTTGTGGGTTGATAATACAATTTTCAGTGTAATAAATACACATTGATCAACCTTACACCATAATTATGACTGTATACTATTAGTGCTAATATCATTCTTACCATCATCTTTTTGAGGTCATCAATGTTGTTGAGTTCATGTTGTTCCTGCTGGCGATGAAGTCGTTCTTCTTCCTTTACAATGGTTTCTTCTGATGCTGGATCACCAGATGGATAACAACACAGCCACATACGAATTTCATCAAAATATACATTAGAACCAGGCGGTTCATCACGAGACTCTATAAAATCATACCAAGTTTTCATTGAGAACCTTTCCCCATGGAACTCTCTAAAAAGCAAAAGCGTATCTAGAAGAGAGATTCTGTTTGAGCCTCCATAATCAAAAGCTTGAAAATCCCAGTAGGCTTGCTGTTCTACAGATTGTCTTCGGGAAATTTCTTCCAAGACTGCAAGAAAAGATTCTCTGGAGATACGACCTCCTGCTTGGTAACCACAGACATGGAGAACTGATGCTTTAACTTGGTCGTATGTGATGTTGTCATAAGCCATATCATCATAGTAGGCATGAAGCTGCTCTGTAGTGATGAAACCTTTGCAGGCAGTGTCGATGTTGTTGAAAATTGCATTGAAATTTTGAATTCCCATTTTGTAGTAAGTTAACTTGAAATCACTTGCTTGAATAGTAAATTACTACAGTGTGTAATATTCCTTATCAAAAACAATTTTCCAAAAGACCAGCTCTTGATTATCTTCAGTTATACCTGAAATATAATTGAATGTTTATTGAATAATTTGTATATTTTATCTAATAATTCTTTTTCCCCATGAACTTATTGATTTATTACTTTTTACAATTATAAATTTTGTAATTTGTAATTCATCAGATGACTAGGCCTACAAGTGGAATAACTGTTTGAGTGGTTGCAATTGGAATTTTCATTGATTTTCCATCAATGTTGTTTAATGCAACAGTGGTAACTGCGACTAGCTGTTTGATTACTCCAAAAATAGCATTTACGGTGTAATCTTCGACGTGGGCTGATCTTATACCCATGAACAAATACACTGCCTAAAAAGATACGTCATTTTCCTCGGGATTACACCCCGACACTTCGTGAAGAAAATTAATTTCCTTGCAAGCTCACCTTTTGCAAATCGTTAACACATTACTTTCGACATATGACTTACCTTTCCACAAAGGACCAGCCCTGTGATGCAACGATAATAAGGCAAATTACATTATTTGTTTGAATTATTTAAAAGAGAAAGTAAGTATTTGTGCCGCCATATTGTATACATAACCACCAAGGTGTTCGAAACGTCATATACAAATTGACCAATCATAACCGAGCTTTTATATCAATCACGGCTCAATGGTGGAGGAAAGCGGCAATCTTGTGCAAATTTAAATACAGTTTTATGCAGAAAATCACGAGTCTCCCAATTACACAATGTGAAAGTAAACAGATCTAAATATGTTCAGATCCCTAAAATACCGCAGATATCACAACCGTTTTATTGATCAGACCACGGAATGAGATATCACAAAGTTGTTTGTTTACAAGTGTGTGCGCGTGGAAAGAAAGTTTTGAAAACAATGATGCCTGATTTTCCCAAGTTTTGTGCTTTTTCCACAGCGCCTTTCATTTGCTTTCATCCCAATCTGATTTATCATACATATGTATAAGTTCGTGGTTGTATGCACACATAACAATCTAGCCTTAGTTAGACATTTGAAAATACCGTCGCAGAGGATACGTCTTTTGAGAGTTCATTCACGATATGCCAGCAAGTATTATTACGAGGGTCATTGAAAATTCTATTATTTGTGCATTATATATGACATATAGCCATTTAGTTTGAATGATATCCAATTATGTTGTTACATACTTGTGCCACATATATAGACAGCATCCTTTCAACAATTCTTCCTGCATAGCAACATTTTAAGTGTCACAAATCAAAACAGTAAGATTAATAATTTAGAATTATTTACTACAGTCACACCACCGTACTTCCAAATGCCTGGTAGTCTCCCTTTGGGGTGTACTGTCGAGACATCACGGTAGCTCGCCCAGAATCTAGGTCACCTCCTGATACATATTTATTCCCCAGAGAGCATTCGAAACGTTATCATCCATCCTTTCCATTATACAGCTGTTATGTATATGCTATATATATATACATAAGGTTTATAGTGTATAAGGGGAGACTATTGAAGGGGAGGTAACTCCCATCGCCTTTCTTGTAACAGTTATGTGGACTAAGACCACAATTAAATACTTCCGGGTTCAGTACCCCACGAATGAAGTCCCTAAAAATGTATGTATATTTGGGAAAAAAATAATATGCCTCTTTGAATTGGATGTTTGCCTATAAATTTGCTGTAGATGTGTTATAGAGATGATAATCTAGCTGTCAGTGTGTAAATCATTCATATTGAACATGTATTTTGTGCTGCAGGATCCGGTGTAAAAAGTCCTGTTTTCACCTTTACCCCTGACCCGGATGTATATAATTGACGTTGGTGACACATATGGAGGTATATCTCCAGAAAATGCCCAACATGATGGGTTGAAACTTTTACATTTTGCTTCTCAGATGTTGATCTTGGCCAGGTGAAATGGAAATTTGCAGATGAAACTTTGGGACTTAGTTATGAATTTTAATGTTAATATGAAACATATAGTGAAATTAATTGTGGTCTTAGTCCATGTAGTTCTTCGTTGAAGAGATAAAAAAAAAGTTTAGTGGAATAACAGAGAAGATGGAAACACATGGATGGGTTTTAGTCATATGTGTCTTAAGTCTTTAACACGGCTATATAGATGCTGTCGTTTCTCACACTATTCATGTAGATGTCATTCTTTCACCATGAAATCTGGACTTTTACTATGTATACGGTATATAATTTAGACGGAAAAGGATTAAAACTATAATTTACCTCATTAATTTGTTTTCCGGTCTCGTTTTCTCTTTGTATTTTTATATATTGGCAATCTAATATCTATTTGGAATGAAAATAATCTTCATATTACTTTAGAATTCAGTTAATTTTGCTCACGTCCAACTGGGATAGACAAGGTATGAGATTTCGACCGATTCCGAAGCAAAATTAGTGACATATATGTTATTTCTTTAGCAGTTCCGTACAAAAAACGACGAAGAAAATGTTTGTCTTTTTTGTTTATTGTGACATCCAAACTCAGAATCGACAACAAAAATAATAAATGAAAACATATTAACAACAAACATATAATAATAAATCTGTAACATACTATCTTTGCAATCAGCAATCAATAAACAAAAGACCTTTATCCTGCAACAGCTGTCTCAGGCAAAAAGTTATTAGATTATCAAAGCTACTCACAGTTTGGTTTATCGTAAGTGATAATTTCCAAGAAAAACAGTCCTTACAGAAGATTTTATTTTAAATATAAAGACAGTCAGTTTCAAAATGATAAGACATCAAAGTTATTATGTTTACATATCCAATAAGGTTTCAAATCTTTGCGTGATGAAGCATGTGGGGCCCGCCTCAATAAATACATCATAGGTAACTGGGATATATACAGTGGATTAAAACAAATTCAAGAGACGCTATCAGCAGGCTACACCACATTGCCACAACAGTGTATATTATGAAATATTCATGTAAACAGGAAGTGACTTCATCACACGATTAACACAGTTTCTCGGAAATACGACAATATGTACATAAGTGAATGACGGCCACGTCCTGGTGTCACGTGAAACTCCCAAACCCCCCCCCCCCCCCTCCACACACACACCAAAATCCCTCACGTTAAGTTGTGAGAAACAGATATAATACAAAATATATAATCCGTATGTCAACTCAGTATTTTAATTAAAATACAGGTAAACATTTAGTGGTTAACTATACCTTGTACTTTTTTTTTATCAATAAACATTTTATTTAAAACATATTTAACATACATATTCGGACTATGTTTACAGAGATATTTTTATGAATAAAAAAGAGATACCAAGATGCATAGTTCATTAATCCGCTGTTGGTTTCATTGTTATAGTTACACTGGTGAAGTAAGTAACTTGTCTTTATTATATACAGATTTTAATTTGCTCGGACATCTGTCGCTCTATTATACGATCTACGGTTTACCTAAAGTAGGGCCATGTGTATCGCCATCCTTAATTTTTTTGTACCTCACTCCGTACTAATATCAAGTCAGGAACCGTTGGTTCATCTCTGTAATAGAATGAAATAAAGTTTTCATACATTCAAGAAACTTAGTAATGATATACTTTCAGATCTAATAGTGTCTTCTCTTTAAGCCCAGTATTTAAATGTTGTTTCTCCCTATTTAAACACCTATGTGCATTGATTTGTATTTACTAACGAATCTATATAACAATCTCGAATAGCCTTAGTTAGTAGTATTGATGTTAAATATGAGACTGACCTTTAAAACAGAAACGACATAAATTTTCATCGCGATTGATACTGTAGTAGCCGCGGAATTGTCTTTGGTGTCCTGTCTAGTACCCGTAAACTGAAGAATGTGTCAACAGTGTCCGTTCGCTTGTATAGTCGTAGGGTTGACATAGCAGTACTTTATCATCTAATTATCTACTTAATTTAATTATGTATAAAACATCTTTTACATATTAAACCTATAAAATATATCATAAACGAATAAAATATCTCGTAAATATATGAAATATTTTTTAAAACATCTAATATGTCACAAAAAAAACCATTTATAAATACAATATAATTTACTAGATTTTCGGATCGAGATTGCTCCATAAATAAACGTTTAGTTTAAACATATTTTATTGACAATGACATTGACAATAGGATTAGTCAGTAAGTTTTACCAACTTATGAATGACTTCTCCTACAACATACACATAAACATTTACATAAATATGATCACGTGGTGACATGAAACTATTATAATAGTCATTTTTAAGTAAAATGTATAAGTGGACAAAAAATAAAGAAAGAGACAGAGAGATAAGAACAGGGTATGGCATAGGGAAAGAGAAATAGAAAGAGGGATGTAGAATGGGAGAGAGAGAAAGAGAGAAAAAAAAGGGGGGAGGGGGAAGAGAGGAGAGAGAATTTAAGTGAATCTTCCTGACCTTCCTGGGAATGTTTGGACCGATTTGGCCATTTTAAGGTTATCATCCACAGAGATATTAGAGTCACCATTGCAAAGAATATTTACATTAACAATACCGTCACACCATATTAATTCTTGGTATAGTGCTCTATGTTGATCAGCATATAAAGGACAATTAAAAAAAAAGATGATAAGAATCTTCACACGGGTGCCCACATTGACACTCTGGTGAATTTACAAGATTAGCCCTAAAAAGATCATAATTGAGTGGACTTGCACGGTTTCGGAGACGACAGTGGATGATATTTAATTTTCTGGAGCCATAACTAATAAATTGCTTGTGGAGAGTACTATTCACAGACATAGATTTTTTAAGATTTAGCTTGAAGGAATTTAAAGTGGGTGAATTTCTAATATCATTGTTCAGGTTGTTCCAAAGATTAGTTGCAGAAGGAAAAAAAGAATTATGAGATATTTGTAAACGGAATTGTTGATCTCTCATTAAATGGGCTCGTCTTAAATTATAGGGGACTA